GAGGGAGCAGGGGAGCCTCCGATGTACCCAGCTCCCTTCTGTAACTAAATTTACTCCTCACCCTTTTCAGTTGCTCCTTCTGAAAAACTCCATTGGTACAATCAAATTATCATGTAATTCCTAATTACTTTTGACCTAAATAAAAGACAATAGAATATGATTTACTTGGAAATAGCAAAACATTGCAAAAGGAATATGCATGTCAGAGTAAACTGTGGGCATAGTAAATGTGATGGAACAAGGGAACATTTTCAAAGACAAACATGAGAATCATTACATACATTTAGGAACAATAATCCTTGGCCACATGATAAATAAGAAACGTATACCAAGGTTGAAGGGTCAGTTGCCAGGCAGATGTCCTTGTAGACATTTCTTATATAGAATTCCAGTGGCCCTGGGCAAGCTTGTAATGGCAGACATTTTTGATAGTTTCTATCAGGTATTCATTTAAGAACCGTTCTTTCCAAACCTCTCAACTCTCTTTTATGTTTATTTTGTGTTTTATTGGTTTTGAGACAGGATCTCACCTCACCAGGTCATCCAGGCTGGCCCCAATGTACTGTGATCCCTCTGCCTCATTCTTGGAGCACCAAAACTATAATCACATGCCACCAACCATATAGAGCTTACTTACATTTGTTTTATTAAAGTTCCTGCATTTTCTCAACCTTACCTATTTTGGTCTGATTTCCTATTGCTTAATGCCTTATTTGTGTACTTTGGTTTGAGCACATTCCCACTGGATTCCTGTAGAAGTTTTTTGGTTTTCTGAAGACAAGAAAGGCAAACAAGGGCTTCTCTTCTTCTTCTTCTTCTTCTTCTTCTTCTTCTTCTTCTTCTTCTTCTTCTTCTTCTTCTTCTTCTCCTTCTTCTCCTCCTCCTCCTCCTCCTCCTCCTCCTCCTCCCCCTCCTTTTCTTCTTCCTTCTCCTCCTCCTCCCTTTCTTTATGACCAGAATACAAGAAGCAGCCATCATGCTCTGTGTTTTGTTTTTCTCATACGGGTGTCTCTCATCATTTGGCTATACACACCATTGTGATTAGTGAATTCATGACATAATGGCCTTTGTACCATACAGGGGAGAAGATAGCAAAGGTGGAGGAAAGATGCGAAAGAATTTTAAAAATCTTTGAAGAAAATAGTTGAAAATAAACTTTACTGCCAAAAATGAGGGCAAAGTCTAATAAAACTCTAAAATCTTTGGAATTAATTTTCTTGTTTTTACATGTCTGCTGACCATTGCTGGGTCAGTGTCCTACATGTCAGGGTACCAGTAACCATTAAAGTTATTGGTTGTGCCCGCCTCTTACTTGCATCGCTGTTGAATAAAAACCCCAAAATTAACCTCTGCCCCTAGAAATGAACAAGAAACATAATAGGTGGGAATTCCTGTGCTTGATCAATCTATGATACCATCACATATAAGGGCCGTCAGTACAATTGATGACACTAAGAAAAATGTTTACATTTAAATTATGAGATGCTGTTTATGGTTAAAATGCTTCCAAATTCTAGGAACATTAAAAAAAATCTGTAATTTTTACACTTCATAAAAGATAGATGTTAGGAATTGAACCCTGGTCCTTTGGAAGAGCAGCCAGTGCTCTCAACCAATGAGCCATCTCTCCAGGCCCCATATGGCAGCTCATAACTGCCTGAAACTCCAACTTCAGGGGATCTGACACCTTTACACAGACATACATACAGGCAAAAACCCCAATGTACACTAAATAAATAAATCTTTTTTTAAAAGGATAAATGTTAGAACTCTGAGATGAGAGAAAAATGCAGAAGTAAACAGGATGAGAAGCTTTGACAATGGAGTCCTCAAAGGGGAAAGGCTGTGATATTAGCATAGGTCAAGGTGCACTCCACTAAGCAGAGTAATTTGAACAGAGATGCAGTAGGAGGACATGGGGGACTTGGTTAAGTGAATATCAAAGGTTAGGGGGATAGCAGACTGAAGAAAGAGCTAGAACAAAAGTCCTAAAGCAAATAAATGTCCATCTGAGTTGGAAGGATGTCAAGGAGGCTAGTGTGAGTGGACAGGTTGAGTGAGTTGAAAGACTAAAAGGAGATGAAGTCAAGAGGGAAATGCCAGATCACACACATGCTGATACTCTTGAAGGCCAGAAGAGGGCATCAGATTCTCTGGAACTGTAGTTACAGGTGAGCTACCTGATATGGATGCTGAGAATGAACCTAAATCCTGTGTAAAATCCCCAAGTGCTCTTAACCACTAAGCCATGTCTCCAGCTTCATAGGCCCCAGATTTTGCATATTTAACATGCTTCCAGATAAAGCACTAACCATCCATAAGGAACAAATCTAAATCAGCATATGAAATACTCTCCTCAAAGATTAGACAACTCAACACATCTATTATTTCCCCCAATTTGTCTCTTTACTTGAACAAGAGTCTGAAATAATTTGTGTGGAAGCTAAGAAGCATTTCACACTTGAGGGGTTAGCATCGGAAGGATTTCAATTAGAAATCTATACTTCAGAGATGAGATATATGAAAAAATGCCCTTCTCATACCTAAGGCAGACTAATAGTACTTGTAAGGATGTTAAAAAGTGAATTTTCATTGTCATAATGAGTAACTTCAAGATAGGTCAGACAGGCTGAAAGGTTGCCAGCCATCAGCCTTCCTTTAGAGTATAAGAACCCGATGAGCCCAAAATCCACACACAGTTTTAAAATTTCAACCCACACTCATATGCAGATACTCTATAATTTTGTGGGGAGCGGGGGCACTAGGAAGATAGTACAATCAGTAAAGTCCTTAGAACCTGAGTCTGATCCCTAGAACCTATGTTTAAAACTGCAGAGTGTTGGTAGGAACCTGTAATCCCAGCACTAGGGAGGCAAAAGACAGGTGGATCCCTGGGTTCCCTAGACAGAGAGCTTAGCTTAATCAGTGAGTTGCAAGCCAGTGAAAGAGCCTGTCTCCAGAACATGCCCAAGGTCCTACTGAGGAATATCACCTGAGGTTGTCCTCTGTCATCCACACACTAACAAAGCTTTGTCACCCAGGTCCAGTTAGGATAGCTGAATCTGTGTGTGCCCGTACAATACTGTTCTCTTTTCCTACAGAGTCAAATGTCCACTGAACAGAATGATCGGCATTCCTATTAGGGGGAAATGTACAAGTTAACCGGTGGCCTCAAAATATCTGGAATCTTAATCCAGAGATTTAAGAGGTGATTTATTTAGAGACCTGAGTGACATCAGGGACAGTTAAGTGAGCAGATAACTAGTGGGGAGGAAAGTGTTGAGTGTGTCTCTTCCAGTCCTCGTATTCATTCAGCAGGAAAATTTCTTTTACTGTTAATTTTGGAGGAGTAGGTGCCCGTCGTGTTTGGGAAAACAGGATACAGGCTATCCAAGATCCCATCCACAAGTGGACTTGGTTTAAGGATCAAAGAATGGATGAGAATGCCAGCAAGAACTCAGGGCTAGGGATGCTGCATAGAGGGTGAGTCAGGACAGTGACTGTGTTGATGGCAGATTTCACGTGCTGGGTGAAGTGACTCAATTCTACTCCTTCAGGAAAAAGGAACAAAACAAATTGATCAAGAGAATCCTGTTCTTTCTGTCTTTCAACTCACCAGTCTCAGCATGCCGACTTGCTTTACAGCCCTTGGTAGCTGCTATTACTTCATTCCTGTCCACATTCTGTACCAGGTAGGCAGAGGCTTTATATGATGCCCTGACCTTCTGCCTTTAGCATCTACACAGTTCTTCTGTGTCTCATTAGCCAGAACCTACGATCACCCACACACAGTTTGGGGTGGTCATTTGATCTGAGGCTATTATACTGAAGGTTGAACAAGCGAGGAGATCGAGAACGTCAGTGGATGTAGGAGCTACTAACACTACAGTGTGTATTGTCGCCTTTTCCTCCTCTTCCTCCTCTCTTCTCCCCTCCTCCTATTCCTTCCCCTCTTCTTTCCTCCCATCGCTTCCCTCTTCTTCGGTCTCGAGGAGTAATATTCCTTCTAATTTTGCTTTTCCGCTGGATTGATTCCAGGCTTTCCATCTGAAACCTTAAATCTTAAGCCTGAGTCACCATGATTTTGACAACTTAAGTAGTTCCAATTAAAAGTGTTATGGCCAGATTGTGACCTCAAAGAGACCACCAAAGACCTTGGATGTCCAGAATGCAACAGCAAGGTTTATTCTGTAGATACAAGTCTAGACAGGGAACTCATTCCTACACCCAATACAGTGAGGCAGGGAGGAGTTGCTCTTTCTTTGTGTGGCTAGCTTTTTAAAGGCAAAAACCACAAGCCCTTCAGGAGGTTTGGGGGAGTTTTGCACGGGTGCAACTCAGATTGGTTTATTTGTATCTCTGTTCTCTTTTAATTGGGTGAGGGTATGTAACCTTTGAATTTATGGGTTGGGGGTTACTATTACCATTTTGGGGGCAGTCCAGCACAAGTCCCAGGCTTTGTCCTTGAGCCGCCATGGGGGCTGGCTGGTCAAGCACGTACTGACTGTGGGGGCTGGCTCAGTGGTCTAAGCTCTGTCCTTGACTCATGCACATAACTCTAAGTTGGTGAGGGGTCCCAGACAGTAAACATCTGGCTGAACTTTGAGCAGTCAGAGTATGTGCAGAAAGGGAGCTACTCCAAGGACTATGTCTTTTGTTTATGGCCCTCCCAGAGACTGCTTGCTCAGTCTCAGGAAACTGAAATTCAGAGAAGACTGAGCAGCCTGTTACGGCATTTGCTTGGTCCTTTCAAAAAGGAAAATAAATAAATAAAATCTCCCCAGGTAGCGTGGCCAATCTTGGTCCTTTCAAAAAAGAAAATAAATAAATAAATACATACATACATACATACATACATACATACATACATACATACATACATACATACAAAAAAATCTCCCCAGGTAGCGTGACCAATCAGGGTGACGGGGATGCGGAGAGTCACTACCGGAAAAGTTCTGGCTCAGCCCCAAACTCCTCTCCTTTTGCCCGCCCCTTTACTATCGTACTTGTCTGAAGCCAGAGGTGGCCATTTTGGATTCGGGCGGAAATGAACTCAAAACCAACCGGCTAAAAACCCAAACATTAAAACTAGGACACCGGTGCGGTCGAGCTAAAAACACACGCAGACAGGTTTCTTTGCAGCCAGAGTAGGCTGCTGGGAGCAGGCGTGAGGCAGGGGCTTCCCTGGCGCCCACACCTAAAGATGCCCCGGACCGGAGCATCACCTGGGCGGCCGCTCTAGCTCGGTTCCGGGTTCGCGCACCTCGGTGGTGGCGTCGGAGGAACTGAAGGCCGGTCTGTTGACCCGTTTCCGGGCCCTTCTCGTGCGGTCTGAGCCCGGTCCTCGGGAGACTGTGGGTGGAGGGGCCTAGGCCTGCGAGTCGGAGCCAGCCGCCAGCCTGCTCCCGCCGCCCGCAGGTAACCGGGAGCCGAGCGGCCGGGGCGGCGGGGCAGGGCGGGAGCGGGGTCGCCGCTGGCGGGGAGAGCTGGGGCGGCCCGTTGAGCGCTGCTCCGGTTTGATCGGGGTGCCCCCCGCCTCTCTCGGGCTTCTCGGGGGACCCCGCCGTCACGGCCGAGGCCTGGAGTCTAGCGGGAAGGTCGCGCGGTACTGGGTCCCAGACAGCGCCAGGCCCCCAGCGGCTTCATGCGTGAAATAAAGATAACACATGATCTCCCCAAGTCGTTTTTTGCTGACTTTTGGGATCACAGTGACCGCTGGTTTGAGGGATTGGTGTGTATCCTGAGCTGAGGTCAGACGGAGTACTTTTAATCTACATGATGTTTTGCTTGTCAGCGAGCACTGGCTTTGAGTTCTTGACCCGGAACATACATGGCTGAAACACATCAAACCCCGGGGCTGCTGGTAAGGTGTATCACCCAGTAGCTAAGTGCCAGCGAATAAGGCATACCCTTAGGACTCTTGGGGCAAGTCATAAGCTTTGGCACTTTGAAGTTAAGGGAGCTGGAGCCAAGAGAATCTCTACTAATTGTTGGGAGAAGAACCAACAGGGACATATTTCTCTCGAGGACACAGGTTTTATGGTTGAGTCCAGAAGTTGTCCAGTGACCTAGGCAAGGGTGCTTCCTAACTACAGGTGGTCTCTTCTGAAGCTTCACCTGAAGCCAAAGAAAGAAAAAGGTTGGAGGAAAATAGGTAAACAATTTTTTTTAAGACAGCTATGGTGTATATTCACATCGGAGGAGACTGTCAACTCAATGTTTCATTATAGAAAGTAGAAGTGTATTCTCTAAAATGTCTGTGCTATATTGGAATGTCCTTTTCTACCTTCGTGTGACTTTCCATTTCAAATCTACCTGGCACTATTTCACATTTTCCTCCTTACTCCTCAAACAAGGAAGAGTATTTGGAGCTCGGAGTGTTATTTATGTCTTGCATTTCAGTAAGTTCCTTTCAGTTCAGTTCTCGGTTTTAAAAGCACTGTTTATATCAATAGCGCCCTGCCTCTTACATACAGTTGTGGGAAGAATCAGTGACCACTTTAGGGTGTTCTCAGACCCAATCATCAGTACCTCTTCCCTGCTGCATTGGGCATAAACTCTGCTCTTTGATCGGCCTCACATTCGATGGTGTCAGCAGACATATCTCAGCATCGCCAATCTTTCAAAACAAAAGAAGTACAGGGCATTCCATTCTCTTCAATAGAAATTGAGTCATCCCTTTTTAAAAGTGATTTTTCTTAGGGTCCTAGGCAGTACACTGCTGTGAGAAATTACCAGTTTTAGTATCTAATATTTTTGTAAATCTGAAGTTATTAGTTATCATCTGTTTGTATTTATAATATTGAATTAAAGGTTAATAGATATTCTGAGGCCCAGTATTCCAACAAGGACCTGTTTTACTATTGGAAATAAGTAAATTAAATGTCTATTGTCCTTGCCTCCAATAGCAGAGCTCATGAATCTTGGTGAGCACAGTATCTCTTCAGGACTAACGATGAAACTCAGTAGTATGATTTCCTGCCAGGAAGATACTCATCTGTTTGTAGTTCCTTGTTCTGTTTTTCCTTTATTGTTTGTTGATACTGAAAAGTTTTATTTTGTAGTGAACCCAGAATGCAGGCCAGCTTCACATACTTTTCATAGTAACCCTTCCTTAACTGATGCCTATGGTCTCACTGGTGTTGTAAGCAGGGCTTAGAGTAGAAATGTCAGTTGGTTTCAAAGAACGTGGGCCCATTCCAGCCAGTCAGGAAAGCTGCACACTCTAAAGAGGGTTAGTCAATGAAAAAACTGCATTAGAAACTAGCTGCCCATCCTCCAGGCCTGAGACAGGTCTGAGGTGGGGATGCTGGTATGCTTCTATAAAAAAGCCATTCCCCTAGCCTGAGCTTGTTATCCCACTGACCTCTGACTTCCTGGTGCCCACCAAGTTTTTGCTCCCACGTGGCCTTCATTTACCATAGCGCCAGCTCCACCTCCTGGTGCCCCCAGCTTCAGATGTGCTACTAGTGATAGAGAAAAGCCTTGCCTAGTTCAAATTCATGGAGGAGACAGTGGTCTGCCCCTCCGTGCCAGTTCTGGATACTGAAGGTAGTCTGTGAGTTGACTGCTCTTTGACCTGAATGAAACAAGTCATTAACTGTGGCCAGGAAGCAGGAGGAAGGCCCTCTCTGAGCAGGCACTACTGCATCCCCAGACGAGTAGAGTTGCATTTCTCCATTACCCCAAATGAACTGTTTTAAAAAGTGGGTGTTTCTTAGTCGGGCAGTGGTGGAGCACACCTTTAATCCTAGCACTCAAGAGGCAGAGCCAGGCAGATCTCTGTGAGTTCGAGGCCAGCTTGGGCTACAGAGCAAGATCCAGGACAGGCACCAAAGCTACACAGAGAAACCCAGTCTCAAAAAAACAAAAAAAAAGTGGGTGTTTCTTATAATTGAGGCTGTTGGATATTTTAGTATTGTTCTTAGTGTCACGTCTGTTCTATTTTTATTTTTATATTTTGAAATTATACCTTAATTATATCATTCCCCTGTTTCCCTTTCCTCTTTCCAACCCTTCCCAATTATCCCCCTCCCCATTGTTCTTTCGAATTCATGGTCTCTTTCTTTGTTACAATGTGTAACAAATAAATAAATATGTAACTACAACCTGTTCAGTCTATACAATGTTACCTGTATATATATGATCTCACGATTGACCACATGGTATTGGATAACCAGTTGGGAACCCTTCCCTTTGGCAGAACGTGTCTCTGGTTCTCAGCATTCCCCAGTTGTCTGTAGATCTTTGGCTAGCATTGAGGTTGTGTGAGCTTTCACTCTTTCGTGTTAGCATGTCCATTGGTGTCCTTGTTGTTTGGGTCTTATTTAGGCAGCCATGTTAATGAGACCGGATGGTATCGTCTCTTTGACTTTCTAGGAGATACAATCTCACAGCAAACTTCCTGTTCCTCTGGCTTTTACAAACCCTCTCTTCCTCAATAATCCCTGAGCCTAAGAAAGATAAATTGCTAGGTATGTATGAAAGAGCTCAGTGCATCTGCTAAAGAGCAAAATTAGTTCTTACCTACAGACAGAAATTCTGAAAAAACTAATTCTCTGTAGCTTTTTGCCCTAGTACATTTTCTGTTCCTCATATAGTAATGTGTGCATCTGTACACATTTTAAATTCTATTATAAGCTTGTATTTTAAGCATCATTACATAGATAACAAATTATTCTGTGGCTCTTCATCCATGTGGAAGGAAAATCTAAGTTGAGAGATTTGTGTCATGATTATTAGGTTTATATTTATGTAAACACTACTTTTGTGGGGGTGGGAGGTTCGAGACAGGGTTTCTCTGTGAAACCCTGGCTGTCCTAGAACTGACTTTGTAGACCAGGCTGACCTTGAACTCAGATATCCACCTGACTCTGCCTCCCAATATCGAGATTAAAGGTATGCGCCACCACCACTGTCTAAGCCTACTTATTTTTAATAAAAAGTTTTACAAGCCTTTATAGAAATTTGTGTGTGATTGGGTTTGGGAAGGAAGTACGTGTGACTATTTGGTAACACACATTTTCTCTGGCGTTGTTAGTTGTTAATTAACAAGCACTCCTGATAACTTGCTTTTCATTGACCGTTTGTATTATCAGATGGCAGTTGTTAGCACTGCAGGAATGAGTAAGTCTGAATGGACACTTGGGGCTAAGCCGGATAGCCAGCCTGCTTATGTTGCAGATAGATGTGGAATGTTTTAACTTGCTTTCTGCTTGTTTTAGATCTGTTTGATTTGAGGAGGAACTGCAGTACTGTCTCCCTGCAAGAGGGATGGGATCAGAGAACAGTGCTTTAAAGAGCTATACACTGAGAGACTCGCCATTTACCTTGCCCTCTGGACTTGCTGTTTATCCCGCCATACTGCAAGATGGGAAATGCGCCTCAGTGTTCGTATATAAGAGAGAGAACGAAGACAAGGTTAACAAAGCAGCCAAGGTACTGTGATGGGTTGTCTTCACAGGGCTTTCTAAGTCCCGGTTTCCTCTTAGATGAACTTCATAAAGGTCCAGGGAGATACGGTCCCAAGCAGTGGTACTTTACTACTCAGTGTTTCATAAAAACAGTTGTTCCAGGCCGGGCGGTGGTGGCGCACGCCTTTAATCCCAGCACTCGGGAGGCAGAGCCAGGCGGATCTCTGTGAGTTCGAGGCCAGCCTGGGCTACCAAGTGAGTTCCAGGAGAGGCGCAAAGCTACACAGAGAAACCCTGTCTCGAAAAACCAAAAAAAAAAAAAAAAAAAAAAAAAAAAAAACAGTTGTTCCATCTCTAACATACTGTCCCTACAGCCAAAGAGCTTCACCAGACTCACTATGATGGTTTCTATCACAATGCTTTTAATGAGAAAGGTAGGCAGGTGATTTCATATGGCCAGTCTAAGAGATGGGATTCATCTAGTTTAACAAAAATGCTGCTCATTGGTATTTTAATTAGTGTGTTGATGTGCTTGAAAATAAAGCAATCTAGGAATTTTATATTTCTTGCCCTGAAACACTGTACTGTCACAGCATTTTACAAGATATTTTTATTTTTTGTATATGAACGATTTGCCTGCATGTATGTCTATGGACCATGTGCATTCACTGGGTAGCCAGGGAGGTCAGAAGAGGGCATCAGATCCCTTGGAACTGTTAGGGTTAGGTGTCAGGTAAGTTCTGGGAATCACACCTGGGTCCTCTGCAAGAGCAGCCAAGTGCTCATAACTGCTGAGCCATCTCTCCAGCCCTTGTCCCAACATTTTTAATTCGTGTGTTAGATCAGATACCACAGAAAGAATGTTTACCCTGCCTTTGGTTCTTGGGGAGAGACCTTACAGGGTCATAGACTTCTGGAGGCATCCATTTTTGCCCAAGTAAGAAAGTCCCTTTGGCCCCTGGTCACTGCCACCCTTGGTTGAGAGCATCATTGCAGTCAGTTTGCTATTGATTCGATGTCAGGGGATGTTGACAGTAAGAAGAAATGGTGCTGAGGCTGGTGGTACAGCTCAGTCATGTGGTCCTCCCATGACATGGTTAACATACGGACCTAGCCTCAGCACACACACACCCCCCCAAAAAAAAAGAAAAGAAAAAAAAAGTAAAAGAGAAAAGGAAAAATACCACAGAAAAAGAAAGAACGATCCCATCTTGGAACAGTATTCAGTAAAATAACCAGTTTTCTTAAAGAAAAGCAGCGCCGTGTGCTGGTAGTTCCGTGGATAACTAACTTTTGCATATTTTCTAATTCAGAGCATCTTCAAGGAGTTTCTAGAGAGAATACTACAGTTGTGTTCATGAATGAATTCTTCAGTGTTTCTGTAGTAAAAATGGGAAGTTTTCAGTTTGAACTGATAGCTGTTTTGTTTGAATCATGGTCTGTATCACTAAGAATTCTTTTTCAAAAGTCAGTAGATGTAGAACATTTCACAAGCTTTTTAAATGGTTTATTTCTTTGATGGCTATAAAAGGTTATGTTAGTAATATTGATATTTCATTGCTCACACTAATTAGTTACTTGATGTCGTATCTTTGATTAAACACAAAATTGACATTTAAATGGTTCCTAAGGAAAATGACATGTGAAACAATCTTCTCAGTACACACACTCATGCTCTGGGAGTGGTACATGCTGGGTAAAAATCATATTTTTGTCTCTTTTCCACCCCATCTAGATATTGTTAATAATTCCTATTGTGATTTGCAAAAGATGGGACATCATACTTTACTCTTACGTGCAGTTAGCATTTAACGTTTTCACTTACTTTCATCTGTTAGACTGTGTGTGTTGTGTTTTATAACTTAGAGTGACTATAACCAGTGAGGCACTCACTATGCTTACAATCTTTCTAGTTCTTCCTGTTCTTAAGACTATTAAGAGTTTTTAATTACTACCTTTTGTAGTGTATGGACCCTGAAGTAAAAATAACACAGCTCATAAATTTTTTATAAGAAAAAACCCCAAAGATCTTCTCTTGGTTATGAAGATTTTTGTGCTGTAAGAATTTTAAAGCTTAGGTAAAGAGATCCGCCCACCTTTAGATCCCCTGGCTGAGACTTTGCAGGTAGTCCCTGTTGGACCCCAAAGTTTAGGGTCTCAAGTGGGCGCCCCAAGAACCCAGACTCCAGTCCAGTTGATGCAACAGCAGGAGGATTTATTAGGCTTCTTTATAGAAGGGCCCCTCCGCTCCCTAGAGCAAGAGTCGCATCTTACTGCAGCCCCATAAGGGCTTTTAAAGGAAAAACCCACAAAAGTCATAAGATTACAATTTCCATACAATTTCATTTTACAAGAACATGGTCTGATCACAGGGTGATCACAGAGGGGGTACAGTTACGTAAACCTCAAGGGGGGTATCAGGGCGGGAGTGGAGCTTACACACAGGTCACGGTGGTCCTTCCTGTAACACCTGCAACTATCCCAGTCACAGTTGAGCACATCTCTTAACAGAAATCTTTTTACATTGTTACATTGTTACAGGGGTGATTGAGTAGTGGCTGAGTCAGGTGGCCCTTGGAACTAGATTTTTAGTTTCTCATTTCCTGGTGCTTGAAGTTTCTCTCTTCCTGAGGCTTGGGGGTGTAAGCCTGAAGGGCTAGGGTCTTTCAGTCCCCATTTGTTTCTTCAGCCCTACAGTGAGAAGTTGGGACGACAACAAAAGGCTAAGTAAGGAGTTGGTATTATCAGGGAGTCTTGGAGTCTGAAGAACTGGTCATGGTACCGAAGAAGTATATGGCATGTAACATGTTAACTTTAGCCGGGCAGTGGTGGTGCATGCCTTTAATCCCAGCACTCGGGAGGCAGAGCCAGGCAAATCTCTGTGAGTTCAAGGCCAGCCTGGGCTACCAAGTGAGTTCCAGGAAAGGCGCAAAGCTACACAGAGAAACTCTGTCTCAAAAAACCAACCAAACAAACAAACAAACAAACAAAAAAACCATGTTAACTTTAGGGATGTAATGTCCTAGATTTCTAAGTACTAAAGCAACTGTAGTTAGCAGCCCGTCTCTACGGTGGGTTCTTGATCCTACCTCTGAGAGCTTCAGCTATTACTAGGGAATAATCCTATTCTTTCTCTACCATTAGAAATTAAAAATCACAACCATACTATGCTGTTGGCCTCTGGAAGAAGAAATGTAGCCATATGGTTTGTCACAGAACAATATAAAAAGTGGCTGTGTCTCTCCAACCACATCTTATCATAAGTTCATCAACTGTAACTAAAAGCATAATCTTCTCACTGGGATTAAAGTTCAGTTCTATGGCCTGTAAGAAATGAAACATCCTAGGAATGTGTCTGGTTACTGTGGTCTGCTACAGTCCAAATGCAGGTAGGCCTCATGGGAATCACAAAGCTTATAGAAATGATCCCGAGTCCACTGGATTCCAGTATACCTGCAGAGCTCTTCGGTTGTTCTCTTAGGCATCCTGAGGTACATATGTTCTTCCTGGTGGAGTGTACCCCAAACCAATAGATGCCCACACTTACTGTCTGCCCAGACTTACTGTCAGCATCTCCACCTGCCTGTCCATTATCTGAGGCTGAGTGCTCCACTGGCGCCCACAGTCTCCAGAGTAGAAGTCTTTCTTCTTTGTTCCTTGCCTGCATGTTTCCTGGTCTGTGATCCAACTCTCAGACCATCGGTATTTAAAACAGCGTATCTGCATCTCTGTCCTAGATGCACATCTTTGAGGAAGAAGAAACAGGCCATCTTGGTTATTTTATTATATTGGTGTCCCAGCCTAAGTGATGGCCTCTGTCTAAGAGTATATGCTTGCATTTACTCTGTAGAGGAGAACATAGAGTCAGTCAACTTTATGAAGTTCTGAAAGTTTTTTCTGGGTATGCGTGGGAGGGGAGGCAAAACTGAAATTTACCTGAGTCAGGTGACCACTTAGTGACTTTGTATCTTCCTGCCAGCACAGAATGAGGTGTTTCCTGAGTAGCAGGAGAATAAAGAACAGTGCACATAGATCAAAGGAGGGCTGGCCTGGGTTTAGCAGGGAGAGGTACTCACGGCCATGGCTGCTGACCTGAGTTCAATACCCAGGACCAAAGGGTTGGAGGAGAGAGTCCACTCCTGCAGACTGTCCTCTGACCCCACCCACACCATGGCGCGAGCGCATACATAATAATAAATGTAAAAAGTGTTAAAGAAGAGAGGAAATTAACTAGAGCCTTCAGACATAAAAGTGGAACCAAGAGTTTGTCTTGAACAGAGAAAAGTGAAATATTTCATGATCAGTTTGAAAATTATTTAAAATAATTTAAAAATTGGAAGTATGAAGGAGGGTAGGGAGAGTACATAATTTTATATGGAAATTATAGTTTAAAATATACATATAAGAAATTCTCTCCAATTAGCCAGACTCATTTAACCAACCCGCTGGCAGGAGCTTTGGCTCTTTTGGGTCTTTACTGTGTTCTCTTTGCATGAACTGTTTTCAGTGCAAGTATTCAAGTTCAAGTCAGTAGCTTGTGATTACTAGTTACATAAAATTTTCTTCCCTTTTTTTGTTTGTTTGAAGTAATTAGTTCCCCTTGTTTTTCTTTTTGTTTGTTTTAGTTTGTTTTTATCGAGGCAGAGTCTGGCTTGGATGTCACTTTGTGGAATAGACTGGCCTCGAACTTGCACTGACCCTCCTGTCTGTCTGTCTGTCTCCACAGTGCTGGGTTATAGTGTACTACCATACTCAGCCAGCAGAGGCAAGTTAAAATTTCCATCATATGAAGTATGTACTAGGAATAGAAAATCCAGAGCTAATACGGCTAGAACAGAACCAGCGGTGGTGGTTGTCATAACACTCAGTTAGCAAGCAGACAACCTCCTTATTTGGACTCAAGTTTCCAGTTGCTTTCCTCTCGTCTGCCTCTGAGTGCTAGTTCCAATCTCAGTTCGTTTTTCAAAACCAAAAAGGGAAGAACCACTGTAATTTTAACAAATTCAAGCAAAATGGACTTATACTTGTCATCCATTCATGTATATTGTCTGTCTGCTAAGGAAACTGATAGGGAAGGGGGATATTTTATATTGGGGTTTCTTAACATGAAACCAGAGGCTTCTCCATCATAATTCATTGTAGTTTGAGGGGGAAAAGTGGGACTAGCTACTTAAACTCATTCTTATCTTTTAATATTTTGGTGTTTAGTGTGTAACCCTGGCTGCCCTGTGATTCACTATGTAGACCAGGTGGCCTCCCGAGTGCTGATTAAAAGCTTGTGCCACCATGCCTGGATGTTGTTTTCTATACTTTATATGTGTTAAATGTAGGTGTACATATAACATATGAGGCATTTTTGTTGGTGAGACATGGAACTGGAAAAAAGCATGGCAATCACTTTTCAGATAATAAAAGTTTTTAAAATGTTGAAATATTTTAAAAGGATTTGATATTTGATAAATTGGTAAAAAGTTAAGAAAATAAAATAAAATGTTTAATAAGAAGATATAGCCCAGTGACGGGGTCAGCAAATGTTCAGGCCAGGATGAGCTAAGAATGTTTTATGTATTTAAGGGACTTTTAAAATCTGGCCCCAGAAGCCATATGTCCTTTAAACCTAACATGTTTATCCCAGTCTGTGTTAACTAAAGTTCTTAAATTTGTGTTTTGGAGATTTGGGTCCAGTTTGTATTTTTAGTAATTATGCTTTCTTTATGCCCCTATTTCCCCTTTTGGGGAACTTCATTACCTGCATTGGACCTTTTGTTATCATCATACAGATTCCTCTGGTGCTGATCATTAAAACAAACAAACGTTCTATTCCTTGGATTGGTTAATAGCTTCATGTCATATTCATACAGTTAATGAATCCATACTTTGAGTTTCTAATTTCCAGAAATTTCCCATTAAAACTGGCTGACATTCTCAGGCTGAGTAGACTCTGGATTCCCTTTTGGATATTTTAATGTTGTGTGGCAGAGATTACCGACTCTGCCACCAGTTCTCTAACAAGGCTCTCTTCAGGCTTGATTTAGGAGGCAGTTCATCTTCCTTAGGTTCAGACCTCAAATTCCCAGGAATAGCAGTTCAAACTTCCTTTCCTTCCTTGAACCTTTGACCTCCTGGTTAGGTCTTTCCCTATGCCTGCTTACTGATTCCAGAGTTTGAGGATTTGTGCAGAAAATTAGGCTTTTCCTTCCCCAGCTCGCTACCCTCTGGGACAGTGTCCTCATACTCTGCCCTTCCTAGGCTCCTTTCCGATTCTAGCCTGAAAGATTGAGATTTTGGGTGTAGTCTTGGTCCCCTAACTCCACTGCTTCACAGCTGAGGCCTGCTGTTCATGTGTAGTTGTCCTAAGAAGAGAGACCGCTTCATCCTCGGTGTTACTTTCACTGCTCCCTAATCTGGATGCCTGCAGAGTTCTTGGGTCGTTTCTGGCTTTCATTCCAAATTCATGGCAATGATAGTTGGGAGGCGTAAGAGCTTGGGAGACTTCAAAGGGAATAGGAAGTCTGTAGTTACTTAAATATTGTAAGTTGAATAAAATTAGAACAAGTTATAGATTCTTTTTTTGTCCTTGAAATTTGGGGGAACATGGGGAGGTAGAAGGGACCGTCAATAAAACATGACTTTTATTACAGTGTGTGTGAAACTAATTAATCTGGTTTGAGTCATTAACTTCATCAACTCTTCTATTTGTATTTTAAAGCACTTAAAGACCCTTCGTCACCCTTGCTTGCTAAGATTTTTATCTTGTACTGTGGAAGCAGATGGCATTCATCTCGTCACTGAGAGAGTGCAGCCTTTGGAAGTGGCATTGGAAACCCTGTCTCCTGCAGAAGTCTGTGCTGGAATCTATGACATATTGCTGGCTCTTATCTTCCTTCATGACAGAGTAAGTGGTTTGACAGTCTCCCTCACAGGATTGATGGGGACTGAAGTGACCCTCTGGGTGGTGGTCCTGAGAGACCGGTACAGAGAGAAACTGAGACAGAAAGTGGAAGGAACAAGAGATCCTACAGAGAGTTTGTGGAATCAGAAACTGGTTCTCTGTCCCTGAGCAGTTGTTTATACAATTTTCTTTCAGTTGACTGTCTTCCTCTTGTTTTAGGTAAGTCTTTATCTAAATAGAGCTGCAGTCAGTATTGGATAAGAGAAAGGTCTGCCAGTAGTGTTGCTGTAGACCAAGGCTCCTGTTGGTTTCCAGAAGTTCTACTCCACTTTAGATTTCAAAGAAAGAACTGTTTCTTAGGAAGAAATGGTGTTTCCGTTTGGGTGTGTGAATCCAATAGAGATAGCCCTCTAAAGAAGGTGTTGTAGCCAGTAAGCTTGCTTCTAGTGATGTCTGGTTGGGATGTTGGTTCTGCACTTCCTTATGTCTGTCTGTTGTCACTGTTCTGAGCTGCTGTTTGTGGTGTTTACGTTCTGAAGCGTGAGGTCTTTGGCAGTCTGCAGAGATGGGACAGCAGTAACACAGGCTACACCCGGCACCAGCCTCATCTTACTGTCTAAAGCTGTTTCTGTCAGGGGGAGACAGGCTTTCCAATGCCGTGTGCAGTTTAGAATTTCTTAGAATTTCAGTCTGTTGAGGTTCACATGGCAGCAAGAATTCTTACTGCTTCATTGGGGAGGAGTCTTTTTTGTTGAAGAAAATTTATCAGTAATAGGAAAGCAACAGGATGAGAGGGCAAGTTAAACCTCCGTCCCATCTTCGGATCTAATTGTCCTCCAGAGGCAGCTGTGGCGCTCAGTGCTTTATTCCAGAGAAATTTTGTGTGTGTGTATCAAGCAAATATTCTATGTTTATTCTCTTCTTTTTCCCCAATGGAAGCCTATCATACATTCTGTTAAAAATCTTCCTTTACTATATATTAGAGTCTTTGGTATAAAATGCATACACATTGGATCATGTGACTAGAATATTTAGTGTACTTTTTGTGTACTGGAATGAATGATTCCTGGTTTGAAAAAGAAATTTAACTACTCAAGCCCCGTTCTCATTTTCTCCCTTCCTCATTTTTATTTATTTATTTTTTGTTTTTGTTTTTGTTTTTGTTTTTGGAGACAGGGTTTCTCTGTGTAGCTTTGCGCCTTTCCTGGAACTCACTTGGTAGCCCAGGCTGGCCTCGAACTCACAGAGATCCGCCTGGCTCTGCCTCCCGAGTGCTGGGATTAAAGGCGTGCGCCACCACCGCCCGGCCCTCATTTTTATTGAAGTTATACTATTTTTTTTTTTATAGTTTTAAACTTGATTCTTCTGTGGTGGGTGGAAATTTTTCTGGTGGTCCTTGTCTTTCCATTTCCTCCTCTTCTGGTGGGATTTTGTTAATGTACTGACGGCCCAGCTTTCAGGTGAAGCAGTCTGGGTTCCTGACAGACGATAGGCAAGAAAGACTTTGGGGGGAAGTGACAGAACCTGCAGGAGCCACCACTCTTTGTTTAAGGAACTGGAAGCAAGTGATCCAGACCGTGGGGACTTGTGTATGTTTAAGGACACGTGTGGCTCCTGATCCCCAAGAATGGGAGTGATGCTGTCTGTGCACTGGCTTTCGTGTCTTCCTGCCCTTCCTGCCGGGCAGGGAGCTAGCCAGAGCCTTGCCCTCCTCAGCTGCATCTGGTTTGTTCATTTAAGCCCAGCTCCATTCGTTAGGCTTCAGGTGCCAAAGACCCTACTGACCTGTGTGTGGTAACTAGTATTTAATTGTTTAAAACCTTCAGATTTGGGGGTGTCAGTCTTCTTCCTGTTCCGTTTGTCTCTTTCCCAGGGACATCTGACACACAACAATGTCTGCTTATCATCTGTTTTTGTGAGTGAAGATGGGCACTGGAAGCTTGGAGGCATGGAAACAGTGTGCAAAGTTCCTCAGGCCACACCAGAGGTGAGCGAACTCGCAGCCCTCTTCCTCACGGAGGATATGAATGTGACATGAGATGGGGTTATTACCTGGGCACTCTCCTTCACTGTTAGGATTTTAGATTTGAAGACTTGAACTTTCTGTTAATGCTCATGTTCAGAAAATTGTAATGTTTATTCCTCAAAGAAGTTCTGAGGTTCATGTAGTCCCTTCTCATTCAGTAGGTAAGGAGCCTAAGATGGAGAGGTAGACGGTTTATTCAACATTGAAGCCAGTTGCCCGCCTCTCTGTTCCCTATAAGTACTTTGTGCTTCCTTAGACTTATACTCAATGCTGAGGTCAGCTTTATGTGTCTCTTCCGTCCCAGCAGTTGAGTGACATACTCTTTCTGTCTCCTCCTGGAATAGCACCTGTCTATTAGGAGGCCAGAAGTACTCACTGCACGTTGTCTCAGTTGCCCAGTGTCAGAACACTGTATTGTATGGAATTGTGAGCCAAGTTGTTGCTGCTATGGTACTTCCTGTACATTTCCCTCCTGGTTGACAAGCTGCTCTTCTCACTGTTTGGTTTCTTTTCACCTTTTGCACGTTGTTTATGACTCACTTTTTCTAAAACCACTCCCTTCCTAATGTCTCCGTGGAAGTATTGGCTCTTTTTTTTAGTTTTTCGAGACAGGGTTTCTCTGCAACTCACTCTGTAGTCCAGGCTGGCCTCGAACTCACAGAGATCCACCTGGCTCTGCCTCCCAATCTGGGATTAAAGGCATGCGTCACCAACGCCCGGCGAATTGGCTTTAAAAGGTAGGGTGTGTGTGTGTGTGTGTGTGTGTGTGTTCATGTTCGTTCTACATCTGTGCACATGCCCAGGGAGGCCAGAAGAGGCTGTCAGATCCCCTGTACCTGAAGTTATAGTAGCTGTGAGTCACCTTAATGGGTGTTGAGAACTGGCCTCAGGTCCCCTGGAAGATCGAGGAAGCACCCTTAACTGCTCTCTCTTTGATGAGTTGGTTCAGTCTGTCTTCTTGGGTTGTTTCTACACTTAGACCTTCATGAATGGCACTCTGTTCTGATGCTGCCAGTTCTGTAAATATTCTCTCATTACTTCTGTCTCCGTTGCATACTTTCTTCTATGTAGTCCACAGCATAAATTCTTTGCCATGGCATACACAGCTCTTCACAATACCTGTCCATCCTATCTCAGCTCTGTTTAGCACCCACAGTCCCATGCTCCTGAGCTGCTGCTTACACGAGCATCTCTGCTGCTTCCCTGTCTTCTCTGATGTGGTTCTGCTGCTGGACCATCTTCTTCCTTCTCATTGGCCTCCTAGAAAATGGAAACACGTTAGATCAAACCTAAGTCCATCTCTGAAGCCTTCCCTGTCAAGAGAATTAGCTCCTGTGGGCTTCATGGCACTCAGCTATTAGAGCTGTTAGCTTCTCTCCAGGTTGTAAGCACTGGTTTGAGCAGGAGATCTATTGTGTCATTTCATAGTCCTTATGCCTTAAATGGCATTGTGGATATGTAAACTTTTCATAAATAATCTTTGAATAGGTGAATAGGTATGCCTGGTTTGGGGAGTTGTTTTTATCTGTACAGCCCATAGGAGCCTCAGCTTTTATGTCTTGTGACAGCAAAACTTAAGATTACCATTATTTAGTGATATGTGGTCAGTTTTTGTCATGTGCTGACCGGTAGCTTGCTTGCTCTTTTTTTTTAAACAGGCTCTCACTATGTCATCCAGGCTGGTCTTGAACTTACAGGCTGAAGTAACCTTCCTGCTTCAGCTTCCTTACTAGTGGGCACTACAGGCTTGAGCCACATCTCACCAAAACACCTTTCAGTTACTCTATCTGAGGGAAATAGGTAGTTCCAGGTGCTTCTGACACCAGAGCATGATGGGAAGAAGAGCAGCTGGCATTTATTCTTCCTAAGCCTCATGCTGTGCTGGGGCCATATTCACATTGAATCAGGAAGGTTTTAAGTTTGTGTATCGGATGTGTGGCATTGATTTAAAGGTTTCATGGCTCCTGCTTCCACTGCTTATTTCTTTTTTAGGTTGAACTAAGATTAATTTACCAAATACGTTGAGATCTTTTTCTTGATTTCTGTCTAGTTTCTCAGAAGTATCCACTCAGTAAGGGACCCAGCATCTATTCCTCCTGAGGAGATGGTGAGTAAAAGGCCCCTTTGTGCAACTCGAACTCAGACTCTGCTGTGCAACAGAGTGTAAAACAAAAACCCCTTGCCGTTTCCTCTGCCCTTTCTTTACTAAACTATGGATGCCTCATGATGCTTCTGACCTTGAAAATGCCTGAGCTTAATTTTACTATCACAGTTAGGGATATCACAGTTTATGGTTTTTGTTTGTATAAAGATGGAAATGCCCCAGTGTGGCAAGAGCATCGTATTTATTTCATAAGTCACTGTCCTTTGCTGGAGACTGTGATTATGGGGGAAGCAGTGATCTCATCCTTTCCTAGCTAGTCACTAGCTGGAACTCCATGGCATGCAGAAGAGTGATAGTTAAGATCATGGGAAGGAAAGGGCCATTTACTAGTAAATCTAGAAAGATGAGCCCCTTACACAATTTTACAAGCCCTAAATTAAGCACCAACCTCCAGAGACATTGTTAATGTGTTCTAAGGGAAATGCAAAGCCTGACTGTAAGCTTAAGAGACCTAAATTTGCAATCTTAGAGTTAGCCAAATCTGTTTTATATGCATAGATTAGGGGTCTTTAAAACTGATGATTTATGGATTTTAAGTCAGTTGATCAGCATTTTGAAAAAGTTGAAAATATCACTGGGCATGCCAGATTATAAGAAAACAAGATTGTTTGATGAGCTTTTGTTTTCATTGTGTGTGTATACACCTATTGGATTATGTTTAGTATTTTTTACTCTGGGTTGTAGTCAGACACATTTCAGAAAGCCAGAGATAAGCATTTTCTTTTTGTTCATACGTGATATTTTTAAATCTTTGATAAGTTCCATCAACTAATATTTCAAAGGTTTTCCATATTTGAGAGAGACCTACTATTTCATAATAGTTCAGAATTTTTCCATTTTTGAGAGAGACCTACCATTTTAATTGACATGCAGTTGTACCAATTTGTCACATACCGTGTACTAACAGTTCTTAAAGCCTGTGGAGTATGGTACCATGAGGTTAGATTTGAGTATAGTAAATGCGGACATGGGAGAGCATTGGAGACAGTTTAGAAAGTAGACCCTCTCATTCTAATACTCTTACTGCATTCAGTCTCCAGAATTTGCAGCCCTTCCAGAGGCCCATGGACATGCCCGGGATGCCTATTCCTTCGGTACTTTGGTGGACAGCTTGCTCCCCATCTTGAATAAGCAGGGTGAGTTGGAGCTGTACTGCCACATGCACAGATTAAGTAGGAAAGGCATCCCACCCGCTCTGTGGAAATCCAAGGACTACCTTTAGTATGGTGGGGAACCTGCTGCTTACCACAGTTTACATAGGACAAATAGGAGCAGCAGGAAGAGGGAAAGCTTGGGGTTCTATACGTACGAATAATAAAAAGGAATTTTAAGTAGGAAGCACTTTGAACAGTGGCTGTCCCCATCATGTGTGATTGTCTTCTGAGTTCATTATTGAGTTATCTTGTGGAAATAAATGCCCTTAGTAACTGAGATGTAATAGCCTGAATAGTAGAGTAAGACTCCAGTGTTGCTGTTAAATTAATTCCAAAGCCAGGCTTAAACTTTATTCTTCCAATGTCATTACTTTTTTCCTACTCTAATTTACTTAGTATTTTTTCTTGCATGCCCTCTTAAAGCCCAGGCTATGTAAAGACAGCTCTCTGCTCCCTTCTGTGTTCTCTAATTGCATGCTTGGCAGCCTGTGTCACTCTCCTGGGATGGACTCTGGGACATTAGTTCTGCACCCGTGAAGGTTACTGAGGTGTGTGCCACATTAGATCCTTCAGTGGCCTGTCTCACTCTGCTGGCACTTCAGCAGTGCCAATGTAGCTTCTACCAGGATCCTAAATGTTAGAGGATTAAAGCCGAAGGCTCTGCGGCATTGTTGTTCTTCTTTGAACTAACTACTCTCCCGCCTCCCACGCGCCTATAATGGTGGCAGATGTGTAGAAGAATTGAAAATATAGGCATTCAGTTGGCTCTGTTGAGAAGGACCTACCTAGGAAAGACCTCCAAACCTGCCCCCTTTTGAAACATCTTTTTGGATCAGAGGTGGATTCAGGAAACGGGAGGCAGTAGAAGGGAGGCACCTGAGGGGTGTTGACCGTGCCGGCAGGACAGTGCTGTTGTATACCTGCCCAGGAGTCTGGCCTACACGACAGAAGTCATGTAGCAACAGCTGGGGCTTTGTGTGCTTGGGCTTTTACAGGTTGGTTTTTGCTCTCATCAGACTCCAGCTAGAGAGGCCCGGAAAGAGGGAGAAGGCACTGGAACTAACTGTAGCTCTGGATTTCAGTTTCAGCGGATGTTCTCTCCAGCTTCCTACAGACCTTGCACTCAGCTCTGCTGAATCCTATGCCAAAGTGTCGGCCAGCGCTCAGCACCTTACTGTCCCATGATTTCTTCAGGTGAGGGCATCATGTGACATGCTGGAGAGAGAGAAAAATTGGTTGCCTCTCAGGTTCCTATCACAGAAAGTTTTAGGAATTCTTAGCTGTCATGAAGGAATTATATCCAGATTCATAGGGATTTTGATTATAAAGAAACGAATCTGTGTGAAGTAGTTTCCAGCTGTATGTTAATTGAGAAAGTAGATAAACATGGCCTCCCCTGTGTGCTGTCACTGCATTAGTGGTATGTGTTGGGAGGGAGGCACGTTTGTGTTACTTCTGGCAGTAGACTTTCCTCTGTTCCAGAACATGGAGAAGTCAGTTAGAAGGAAGGCAGGGCACAGTGTAAATACTTTCCTGGGCCGGGCGGTGGTGGCGCACGCCTTTAATCCCAGCACTCGGGAGGCAGAGCCAGGCGGATCTCTGTGAGTTCGAGGCCAGCCTGGGCTACCAAGTGAGTCCCAGGAAAGGCGCAAAGCTACACGGAGAAACCCTGTCTCGAAAAACCAAAAAAAAAAAAAAAAAAAAATACTTTCCTGGGTTCACAGATGGTATTGAACCTTCAAGGTTAATTTTAATTATATGTTTTTCATTTCTGTGACCACAGACCTTGTGCCCACAGTAGTTCCATGTCTGTGAACTTTATTAGCAGAGCTCACCTGATGTTTTATAAACAAAATATCTTTCTGTGTTTGTACTTAGAGAGCTTGGAGGGAAGCACAGCAAAGGATGGTTGTGCGCCCCTACGACAAGCCACCTCTGGAGAGGCACATGTTGGGGTTGATATTGAATTCGTGCCTGCCTATAGTTATCAGGAGTAGAGTTGCCATTTATGTTTCTGAGAAAATATTTTGAACTTTTCCAGTGTAGCAAAATTGAAAATATAATCGTATACCTTTACATTTACAAATCTTACAACAATTATTATTATAAACATGTATTTTCTTGTGTTTGTAGATGATGCTTAGAGATACTATATTTCTCATGATATAAAAATCTCTACAAAGACAATTCATTGTAGTAAATTGTTACCACTATGTATAATACAAGTTCTTTAAGAAATGTGTAATAGTATAGAGGGAAGGAAAAAAATCAAAGAGTACTCCAACCCACACTCACACATCGATCGCACTGTGGCATGAGGAGTAAACGTGCCAGAGGCAACGGGATGAAGCAGGCCAACATCCGTCACTGAAGCAGCTGAGGAAGCTCCATTCGATTCAAGACACTTGTCCCTGTGCTCTGCAGCAGAGGAGTGGAAAGAGACTGCTGACTCTTGAATGACATGGGGTTGGAGAGCACAGATCCACTTAGATTTGACATGAATCTTTAAGGTTTAGAAAATTGAAACTGAGACAAATTTCATAGCCTAGAAATATCAAAGGAAGAAACATGTGTGATGAACACATAAATGTAGATACTCTATCATTTGGGTCCATGACAAGTATACAAGTTGTCCCTTATAAGAAGTTAAAGTTTATGAACACATACTCATACATTTATAGACCATATATGCTACCATTTGCAGTGAGACATGTAAACAGATGTAAAGATGTAGTATTAAACCATAATTGCAGAAAAACTCATTGGAGCACATCTTGCTGGTATGCTATAGCATTGGGTACCGTCCTGAAATAGCATGTGATACAAAACATTCTAGAAAAGCAGAAAAATAGCTTATGTAGTACAAAGTGGTTTTTTAAGTTTCTTGTGTATTTTCCACTGTGTTTTACTTCATGCACCATGGAAAAGTATGTGTTAATAGATAGTTTTCATTAAAGCTACTGGTCAACACCAGGCTAATGGAAATTAAATTTTGGCGCAGTTAATAGTCACATGGATTTTTATACAGAGAATGTCATGGAAGTCAGTGCCCTAATGATGAGTTGTCCAAGGGTCACATGGAGGTGTTAACATGGGAATAGAGTGGTACCTGTGCATAACATGTAGGCTGCCAAACTTGTGTGCTTAACTGCCATGCAGTAGCTTCCATATGGTAGGATGTGAGCCATGCTCTCTGGAACAGAACAGTTTACAGGTTTGGGACTGTCTGTGGACTCCTCAGAAACTGACCTTGCCTGAGTGCAAAACTCAGAAAAATAAGAAAATACCTGTGACTCCTACATAAATTCCATTTCTCAGGTGTTTTCACGTCACCAAAGGAGAGACTTGGGAATCAGCAGCTTCTTTGAAATGGTTACCCCGTTTCTTCCAGGATAATCCATTTACCAGTGTCCTGTTACAGTGAAAAATTTGGAAAAGTATGGTCGCTATTGAAGCCTAAAGTACACTACTAGCATGTGCATTTCCATTTATATCCTCTGGCAGGTGTTTTTGGAGTTATTAAGATATTAGGCTCTTATAGGTTTGTCCCACTGTATTTATCTCATAAGCTACTTTGAGTGTGGCGTATGACACAGAGAACATTTCTTCATTGAAAATGGTGGTATGGTCTGAGATAATGGCTTCAGTACTTAACATGCCTTTAATCTATTGTCCTGCCATTTTATTTTATTGCATTGCATTTAGAAATGACTTTCTAGAAGTTGTGAATTTCTTGAGAAGCTTGACATTAAAGAGTGAAGATGAAAAAACTGAATTTTTCAAGTAAGTTCAGAAAAAAACTTCACTAACTTGAATTAAACCTATGTGAGCATGTCAGTGATCCAGGGATGACAGACTTCTGCCTTCACAGTGGTTATTAAACTTTCCTACATGTCATATTTTCCACTGTGCCCGGGATGGACTGTACTGGTAATGCAGCCATAGCTAGACTGGTAACTGAAATGTAAAGATGGGTGCAAGTCTTGCTTTGCTGGGAGGGAGGTCATTAGAGAAACAACAGGAGTGAGGGCACAAAGGTAAGACCCACTGTGATTGGTGTAGCAAATGGCAAGCACTGGAATCCTGCTGGAGGTCAGACTCCAAAACAAGGACAGGAAAGAGGTGGCCCCCGAATAGCAAGGCAGAGTATTGTAGGTAGTGGACTTCTTGCCTTGAAGCCACCGAGGGAGTGAAGGTAACCTAACCATGGGATAGCTAGAGCTCTCTTTACTGATCATTCTGTTCAGAGGCAGACTTAGGTCACATGAGGCTTGTGTTGGTTAGTATATAGTGGTTCAGTCAGCAGGTAAGAAGGTGATGTAAGAGCATTGATGGACCAGTGAGATAAGAAAGATATAAAAGATAAAGCTGGGAGGTTTATAGGCTGAGGAAAGAACCTGTAGGGAGTGGAAGGAGCACTTAGAATTGCAGGAAAGCTGGAGACTGAGCAAGTGGGTGGGAGAGGAGGAGGACGGTAGAGCAGTGGCCAAGGAAGGCCATGTATTAACGCTAAGCATGTAACAAGCAAAAGTAAAAGAGCAAACAGCCAGTAGCAGTTAGACAGAAGCAGCAGATGGCTAGCAGAACACCATCAAGTCAGGTGATTAGCACATCTTGCAGAGAACAGAGGACACATCACCAGATTGGAGGCCAACAGCATCTCTTCTTCATCTGTCCCCAGATTTCTGCTGGACAGAGTGAGCTGCTTGTCAGAAGAATTAATAGCTTCAAGATTGGTGCCTCTTTTGCTTAACCAGTTGGTGTTTGCTGAGCCAGTGGCTGTTAAGAGTTTTCTTCCCTATCTCCTTGGCCCTAAAAAAGGTGAATTTTTTTCTAGTGTTATTAGTTATTAAGGAGTTTGGCAATTATTAGTCCATTTTTTGAGTGGGGTAACATTGCAGTATTCTACAGTTAATGTTGGCACAGAACATCTACTCCTCCCTAATATGATAGCTTGAATTCCAACTCAGGTACCAAAGCCATGGGTACATACGGAACAGCTTACATCTTCCTAGAGAGTCATATATTTACTGCCGTAAGCGGTCACACACACACACACACACATGCAGTGTGGTGCACATATATGAACTTTTAATGGGTTAAGGCATATGTTTTCAGGTTATCTTTTCAGTGATCCTTAGGCCTGTGCTTCCTAAGTTACTGAAAGCAACCCATGTTGTATTTTTAGTAAAAATGTTAAAAATCTCCAAGGTCACTTTATTTCTTGTAACTGTGGGTTTTTGAAACATTATAAGATTTATAAGATGATAGTCTTTAGATGGTAACACATCAGATTAGAGAATGCATTTTTAATATACTAAAGAATTTAGAGTTAGGCTGGGTCCTGCTTTAAGAATTCATTTTCTTAATTAATTTTTTTAAATTTAGTTTTATGTGTATGAGTGTTTTACATACCTGTATGCATGTGCCTTACATGCATGCCTGGTCCCCATGGAAGACAGAAGAGGGCACTGGATCCCCTGAAACTGGAGTTAGGAAGGAATGGTTATAAGCCACCATGAGTCCTGGGACCTGAACCTGGGTCCTCTGCAATCGCCATTGTTCTTAACCAAAGAGCCATCTCTTCTACCGGCCCCCAGAGTTCATTTTCTTAAATGGTGCCATTCTAACGGATACTATGGGTAGTTATTTCAGTTTAGACTTGCACTTTATCTCTGGATTGAACATATTTACTTTAGTTTTAAATTTTCCCGTATAGCTTTCCATCCTCACTGGATTTGAGGGAGAACCCATGAATCACCTCAGTGCTCTTTAAAGATCATACTTGACCAACTAACCAGGAACAGACAGGATGCAGAGAGCACTTGAGACAGTAAAGCCTTGAAGTAATTTTGAATCCACATAAGAAATTCCTTTAGCTCGGGGCTTACAATTGTAGACAAATACATAAGATATGTGTAAAATTCTGGACTCGGCTGACAAATTATGTTCTTTACCCTTTTCACTGAATGACTGTTGTCTGTGCCCTCTGATTTGGGGTAGAGAATGCAGGAGAGACTCCTTGCTTGCTCTCGCCAGCACTGTTCCAGTCACGGGTGATCCCTGTGCTTCTCCAGCTGTTCGAGGTCCATGAGGAGCATGTGAGGATGGTGTTACTGTCCCACATCGAAGCCTACGTGGAGCACTTCACTCAGGAACAGCTGAAGAAAGTCATCTTGCCACAGGTCAGGACCAAGCTGGCAGTGGGACGATGAGAGTGCACAGAGTGCTGCCACTTCAGGGAATGAAGGAGGGACAAGGTTTCCAGATAATGCTCACAAAGCCTTGAGACAGCAGCTGAGCTTAAAAGTTGCTAGAATATAAAGGGGTGAAATTGTATTTTCATTCCAGTCTTCTTGGCAAATTAATTAACATAAGACGTTTAGTCTTAATCTGTGAGCAACTATGATCCTGTTTGCTAATCTTGGAGATAAATGAATGACAAGACAAAAAAGCCTAAGCAGACCCATGGCCCTTCACTAGTGTTTGTGGAATGATAATTACATTATGGTAATTGCCACGGAGAGAACACGAGATTGTTATCAGTGGTTTTCAACCTGTTTACCCACCATAGGAAATGTTAGGATTTGCTCAACCAAGGTTTATAATCACTTTTTATGTCATAAATTATCAGAGCTGGGTGTGGTAGTGCACACTTTTAATCCCAGCACTCAGGAGGCATTGGCATGCAGATCTCAGAGTTCAAGGCTAGCCTGGTCTACAGACCAAGTTCCAGGACAGCTATGGCTGTTACATAGAGAAACCATCTCAAAAAAAAATTATCACAGTGGCATGGATCAAAATAACAAAAATTTATCAGGAGCTCTGGAGAACTAAAGTGTGAAATCAAGGTGCAGCTGCTTCCGAGGGCCTGCATACAAGCCTTGATACTCCCAGAAGTAGTACTTAGTGTATGTTGTTGGGCAGCTGTTTCAGGCAGTCCACACCTATTTTCATGGAGCCTTTGCTCTGGGGCTGGCTCATAATTTGGCTGTTTAGAAGTCAGGAGGTAGGGGTGGCAAGCCATGATATATTGGGAGGGCAAAGTATTGTTTCTTTCCCATAGTTAGTTGGAAAACTGCTGACTTAGAAATGTTCAGGAAAATATCATTCATTTAAAGAAGGATTATGGCTGCAGGCCAGTTGCTCCTTTCCAGGAGAGAAAGATAGTGGTTGTCTATACTCATCATCAGTTCTGCTCCTAGGTATTGCTGGGCCTTCGTGATACCAGCAATTCCATTGTGGCAATTACTCTTCGTAGCCTGGCGGTGTTGGTATCTCTGCTTGGACCAGAAGTGGTTGTGGGAGGAGAAAGAACCAAGATCTTTAAGCGCACTGCTCCAAGTTTTACCAAAACTAGTGACCTTTCCCCTGAAGGTAAGATTAAACATTATTTTATTAGGTTTTTATGATGATGATACAGGTTTTATGTTGAGGTCAAGAAACATGAGGAAAGTTATGTTTCCCTTTTCAAATTCCTCATAGTGGTACAAAGTGACCTTTAATGGTTCAGTAAGAATCCTTTTTTTGTAAGGCCACAAAGGGACACAGATTTTTTTTACATACTTAACATATGTGTTTTTTATAAGATTATATTTAATGATGCTGTGCACAAGTCTAAAGCTTATTTTCTTGCATATTAAAGGTGTGTTTCCAGGCCAATACATAAAAACCTACCTCACTTTTACACCTAATATTTCCCTGAATCCAATTCAATTATTTATAGCCATAGCTGTTGTATCCACTGCTAGACTTTTGACCAGTGTATAAACTGTAGTACCATAAATACCCTTACACATGCATCTTTCTTATGTGGGGTTCCACTGCTATAAGATAGTCTCAGAAGGAGACTATGTGGGTCAGAGGGTATATCTGAATTTTAGTCGGGACTATTAAAGACTGTTGTTCGTTTTAATACTTAAGTTCTTTTGACTTTGTTGGACTTTGGGTAAAAAAGCTGTTTTTGCGTACTTCAGGAAATCTCTGATTTTGGTTTGTTCCCACTGTACTCTATGTGGGAGGTAGAACGAGAATTTTGTATCAACAATGTCATTGCCTTTTTGCTACTTTGTATGACCTTGAATATTGACTATGACCATGATTTCATTACAAAATTCTGGTCTCTCATGCAGTTCTTTGGCTTGTAGTGCTAGGCCCTGAGGGCTGAGGGTGAAGAAGAGAGAGGTGCTATAGAGAGCTGAAGCCTTATAATGACAGTTGACTCCCCTTACCCTAGCTTTAAGGTAGGGGAAATATTCAGCTGTAATTTTACTAAATCTTTCTGATCAATATCCAGTCTTGAATATAAGCTTTCTGGTAAACTGTTAAAGACAGCTACTTTCCTCACTCAAGGTCAAATATCCATAGCATAAGTTATTTTAATTATTTTCAATATATAGTTTTGTGGTATTAAGTCATTAATATTGTTTGTTCAGCTTGTACTCTTACTAGCCTTTTATTTTTAAAAGGAAGTTAGAATCAAGGTCTTAGATTTTAAGGACTGTAACTTACCAAGGTTTCCTAAAGATTTTATCTTATGCTTCACAGTTGTGTCCCATCACCACAAATTCAGTGGACCCAACCTTATCAAATGCCCCCTGGGTACCTGCCCCAAGATTTCTCCCAGAGTCGGGAAGATGCTTAAAAGCAGCGGGATTCTAATCTGAGGGATATCAAATGAATCTGCATACACAAAGCTCTTTCAGTCCATTCACTTTATTGTTCTAAGTTAATTTCCTGATCTCTTTGTTGTCTAAGTCTACAGTGTCTTTTCACCTCTCATCCTTCTCTTCCCTGATTTCTCATATTTCTAACAGGAGACTCCTTGCAATCCTGAGAAAAGTTTCAAAACCCTCAAGGTCATATAGCACATTCCTAGAATAGATGATGAGGAGCAAAGACATTACCATGGTAATGCAAGGTTCCAAGGTCTCAGGAGGGGGTGCAGTGCCCAATGCAACAAACTCTGAGACATAGCTTTTTATCAGCAGACTTGGCAAGTGAAGAATTGGCAGGCTTTTCTTAGGGTGCTTTGTGTTAGTATCCTTGGTGAGACACCTGCAACTCCAACTTTGTAAAGTTTTAAACTTACTTTTAGTATAGTTTGAACTTGCTCTGATGTAAAAATGAGCTAAATGCATGCAGTTTGTGTTAGACTGAGGAGCGATTATTATTTTCTGTGTTAGTCCCAGCAGAAGGAACAAAGCAAGCTTTAAGGGTCTACAGTCTCGTGGGACAATGGATCTGGCTATGAAGCATATCCTAGTATATTTTCTATATATCAAAATTAGACAGCTAAATGAAAAGCCATCTTCCTGATCATCCACAGATATATGTGCCCATATGACAGAGATGTAATTATGAGATTACATATATACATTTTGTGAAAATGCATGGGTAATGGGAAGCTATTATTGCACAAGAAGTTTACAACAAGAAACAGCCAATTCATTCAAAAGGCATTAACTCCAAAACACCCTGGGTGGTTTCCCTTGGTTCTGATAGGTTGACCTTCTGAACATTAGTTGTCATCTGCTGTATACTCCCACGGCCTTTTGCTACCAGCGGCTCTCAATACAACCTGTCTTAAACCTTCAGAGCCAGGCAACCCATTTAATAATAGGTTTTGGTCAAATGTTGATGTTCTTTTATCAACAGAGACCCATTTCTCTTGACTGTTGCTCACCAATCAAGTGCTAGATCAGTAAGCCTATCCGCTTCCTTCCCTTTCTTCAGGTTCTCCCATGCATGTTGTCTGCAGCCAGCAGAGTCAGATCTCACAAGTCTTGGAGAACCCCTCTTCTAACGCATTCCCTAAATGGCTGTTTTCTGGCAACATGCCCATCAACAGCAAGAAGCACATACAGGAAGAGTGTTACAGTACTCTTTTACAAACAGGTAAGAATTTTAACTGAGCTTCCCGTTGCTTCAATCTATTCCTGAGACTATTAAGCTTAAATTTTGAAAATCAAGTGCACTTTGGAGTTCCTCTATGCTTTTCTTTTTACTTCTCCAAACTATTGGTTATATACCTAACCTTTCCACATAATGAGTTAACATTACTTGAATTCATTTTTTATCAGATACTTCGGTATTTTTATGTCTTCTGCATCATAATGTACCAAAAATGAGTTCTGAAGATATAGTGAAAAATGTTGTGTAAATAAGTTTGGGGAAGTGGTAGCAGAGTAAGCCTAGATTTCTTAGCATTTTGATGACATTTGAGAAAATCTGTTTCAGACTTATTTGGGGGCCGGAAAGATGGCTCAGCAGTTCAAAGAACAAATTACTCTTGCAAGAGACACAAGTTCGGTTCCCAGCACTGGCCTCTAACTCCAGCTCCAGGACATCCAATGCTTCTGGCCTCTGTGGGCACTGCACTCACCTGTGTATACCCCCACACAGACAAACACATAATTAACAATGAATCTTTGATGGGCTGGGAAGATGGCTCAGGAAGTACAAGCACTTGTGAAAAGCTAATAACCCAAGTTCAATTTCGGGAACCCACATAAAGTAGAAACAAATGCATGATTGTCCTTTGCCTCCATACTTGCACTATGGCATTCATGCACCCAGAATGTGGGGGGGGGAGACCTCCACAGTGAATAATTTTTTAAAACTTACTTGAGCACACATTTTTAGATGTAATTACAACTTCAAGGGTAAGACTGCATCTGTACTTATTTACAGAGACTTACGCCAATAAGTGTATGGATATTTAGTCAAAGGTCTAACATTTAGTTATTTATGACGTTACGCTTGAGTTACATATATTTGGAGATTTTATATGACATCCTTTGTTTGCCTAACTTTTGCTAGTGTGCATGGATATTTCTAAATAATTAGACCTCTACTTATTTGCTTGCTCTTAACATTTTATGAGACTAATTCTTGCATGTGCCCATAGGTGATCAGTTTTCTCACTCTATTAAACTCCCTATGAATGGAATCTCAGATGTGAAAAACACTTCAGAGGACAATGGAAACTTCCCAGCAGGTTCTGGTAGTAAGCCTGAAGAGTGGCCTGACTGGAGTGAGCCTGAGGAGCCTGAACACCAAACTGCCAATACTCACATACGGTCCCAAGAACCCTGTGATGTAGCAGAGTCCCGGCACACAAATCTGAACACAGAGGAGTCGTCCTGGGACGACTGTGAGTCTAGCTTTGGTACTGAAGGAAACACAGTGGCTGGAGCCTCTGCTGCCATGTCTGTTACCTCAGGGGAGCAGAAGCTTACTGCAGCTTTGCTTCCTCTCACTCAGGAGTCTAAGCCTTTGAAATCTAGTCCTTCCTCAAAGACCAATCATATACAGCATGGGGAAGTCAAACCACCAGATGGAGCCCAAGAACAACCACTTAAGGTTCGGTCAGAACTTGGTTTAGGAGAAGAGTTTACCATACAAGTCAAAAAGAAGCCAGTACAAGATCCTGAGTTGGACTGGTTTGCAGATATGATCCCAGAAATTAAGCCTTCAGGTACTTTGCTTATTTTCCCTGAACTGAGGACAGAAGTGATGGTCCCTGACAAGGATAACATCTCACCAGTGATGCAGTTTTCCTCAAAATTTGCTGCAACAGAAATGACTGAGGTGAGTTTATTCTTTGTGCCAAATGTGCTAGTCAGGGTTTCCTTGCATGTCCTAGTTAACAATAAACAAGTAGTTTTCTCATGAAGGTTAATATACACAGCTGGTTAAAATGATCAAATTAAACCTAGAATCAACAATGCCAGTTCCTAGAAATGGTTTATTTTCATGGTGCTGCAAAAAAAAAAAAAACAAAAAAAAAAACCAAAAACAAAAAACGGGACTGATCCCTCAGGCATGTCCAACCTATTGACATGACACAGTATTGTCATCTACAAAGTTCCTGGTTCAAAACTGTTCAAACAATCAAATTAACAAACTAAAATCTTGGGAATGGAGAGATGACTCTGTGGTTAACAGTACTGGATATTCTTCTAGAGGACCCAGGTTTGAGTCCCAGCACCCTCATGATGCCTCATAACTGTCTGCCACTCCTGTTCCAGGAGGTTCAATCACTCTCTGACCTCTACAGGCACCAGGCACACAAGTGGTGCATAGAAATGCATATACATCAAATAAAAATAAATCTTTAAAAGAAATCTCATTTTAAATCTTTTGTGTTGTGCCTTGTGTATGGCTGTCCTTGGCCATGCCTGGCCTGCGCATGAGTAACTCCTTGACTTGGGAAAAGAATCTGACCGATTTTACTGGACTGCACAGTTACTTTCCACTGGGTATGGGATGTAACATTACAACAACGCAATCTCGCTTTAACTTTGGTTAGTTTTTTCTTATTGTGAAGCAGTCTCTCTGACATAAACAAATGGGTCATTTTTGACTGCCTGGTGTACATAATCTGCCTCAGATAGCTGGTGTGTTCTGTTGCAGGGAGAGGCAGACGGCTGGGAAGAAGAAGAGCTGAGCTGGGAAGATAACAACTGGTGACTATGAGGAAGAGCTTAAACTTCAGGAATAATTCTAAAAGAAAAGAAGTAATACCTCAGAGCAAGCTGCACGGATGCAAAACCCCAAAGCAGCTTGTGTTCCCCGTACCAGAAGCTCTTTTTGCAGTCTGTGCCAACTCAAGCTGAGACCAACCTCCAGTTGCTGACTAAGCCCTGGGTGGCAGAAAGCTCAGTGCCGGATTCTAGGAAGAAGAGCCTGTGTGCACTTGACCGAGGCCAGTTCCCATGCAAAGTAAGTAGCTAAGAAGTGCTTTTTCCAGGACAATTCTGGAAGTAAAGAAAATAAAAAATTCAAGCTGGTAAGCTTAATTTTGTGCCATTTCTTTAAAAGAGTAAAAAGCTCTATTGTGAAATAATGACTTACTGAAAAAAGATTCTAGCTGTAAATTATAACTTCAAACTGCTAAGGTTCTTTAAGCAGCTTATTTATTTGTTTACAGTTTATCATCTGAGTAAAAGAAGGTCCCTCCTTTGGACCTAGGCAGTTACTGTTTCACCTGTATTACACTGTACCAAAGTTCTCAATGAGAAATATCCCCCCCTCTTGTTCTCTATGTCAAATAAAGATTATTTTCACATTTATAAAAGTTTTATATGTGCAATGAAAATGTACAAACATAATTTACATTCGTAATTTACAAAACAGCCAGGCAAGGCAGCTGATAAAGACTCAGTCAAACCCAGTTCTGTCAACTAAGAGAGTCCGTTCATATACCCTCAGGTACACAGCATTTTAGCTTCTCAATCTTTTCTTGCAGTGCCTCCAGTTCCATTACCAGCCAGTCTGGAGCGGGGGCCTGCTGGAGTAACATCTCCGTTGTCTCCAAAGCCCCTGCTGCTGCTTGAAATGCTAACCTATACTCTTCTTCGAAGGGCAACTCATGCCGGGCTCTTTTTGTACAAGGCTGGAAAATAAGGAAAGCATGAAACCAGTAATGCCATAATACTCACTCTAGAAATAATTCAAGAGAAACTGTAACCCTGGCATCACAAAGGGCGCCCTCCCCATCTGTAGTAATACCTAGTCCTAATTGTGTGTGGCAGTCCAGGAGAACTCTATGCTAGGTCCCCAGTGACAAATGCTGTCTTGCCCAACAACTATCAATGAGTATTCCTTAAAAACACCATTAAGAGAAATAAAATGTGATTTTCCTAATATTAAGTTTGTAAATGATGAGAACTAGTTTTCAACATGCTTTTGGGGCCAGCTGAGGAAAACTAAGGCTCAAGACATCTTGCATAGGGAGGAGCAAGAGAGACTGAGACCCAGACATATCTAATAATCAGTTTTCCAAAGGGGTGTCACAATTTAAATTCACAGGGCTTATGAACATAACTGACTTATATTGAACTTTATATATTTCAGGCTTACAGCTACATCTTAAAAGAAAAAACAAAAAAAAACAAATTTCTATTGCCTGAAATTCCAAATTATATTATACTTGTGTTAAAAACACAATTTTGAATTATGTAGTAGTGTCAAATTTCTGCCAATCAATAGGTACATGTATTAATAGAGAAAGGTAATTATGAGGCTGGCTTGATGAGGAGACAAGAGATGAACTAAACATGCTGATTGATATTTGTGAGTCAGAAAATGCATTTATGTCATCATTGGTACAATATGTAAGTTCCAATAATAAAGAATATATTTGGTATAATGTTTACAACTATTTTTTTTGTAGTTCTTGCCTGTGTTGGTAACACTTCAGGAAAAATGTATGGTTTTGTTTTTGATGTGCAACTACCATAAAAATGGGAATTTTATGTGTCTAGATTGTACTTGATATTCAGCATGAAAACAAGAATCAAACTAGTTTGTTTTATCAGTAATGGGGCAGACGTTCCATTGATTGACCACTAACCATACTGAAAAGCAGCCCATACCTGTAGAGCCAACCCATTTGCTTCTCCTACAGTCACCTTAGCAGCGGGTTCCCAGAAAGTGCCTTTCTCCTGTTTCACATGGTCCACTATGGCAGCTTCAGTTTCATCTACAAGTCCTGTCTGTCAAAGATCATCAAAAACCACTGACACATTAGCATTCTCATAACACTTGGTATCTAGTGAGATTTAGAAGAAGAAACTGACTACTTTATGTACATGTCTATAAGTGCTGAGTGTTAAACCATTCTGGTTAAACCTATGACCAGGCAAATTCTAGGTTAGGTAGTCTTATCTTTTAGTATAACCTGAACACAATCCCTTTAGAACAATGTTCCCACCCTTCCTAATGCTGCCAACTTTAATACAGTGCCTCATGTTGTGGTGACCCCCCCAACCATAAAATTATTTCGTTGCTACTTCATTAACTATATTTTGCTACTGTTATGAATCACAATGTAAATATCTGATATGCAGGATATGTGATATGTAACCCTGTGTTGGGAGGGTCTTGACCCACAGGTTAAGAACCAGAGTGTTGTTAGAGTGCCTTAGAGGGTTCTTCACTACAGCAGAAGAATTGGGAGTTGTCTTTCCAACTGAAGTATGCTAACATTCAACTTCCTGTACAGGCTGTGATGCTGGTAAAACAGTTACTTTTACACATGTACTAATTGTAACACATATACATATTTATAATGTTTAGTAACAACTCAAGTAAGTAATTTATAAAATACAGAACCCACTTAAATATGTGCTTAAGTATAATTTACATTTCCTAGTATTCTAATAATTTACATTTCCTAGTATTCTAAGTCTCTGGTTTGACAGGTATGCTTATTAGTATATCAATTACCCCCTTACATCATAATACCAGAGTATATATTGGATCCCTATACTTAAAAGCTTTGGACTGTACTCAACTGTAGAAACACCACTTTACACACCCTTAATTCTAGCACTCAGGAGGCAGAGGCAGGAGGATCTCTGAGATCAAAGCCAGCCAGGGCTACACAGTGAGATCCTATCTACAGAAATAAAGTCTGTCTCTGTATATTAGAAACAATTCTGAAATCATACTAAAACATAGTAAAAACCATAATGCTAGGACTTGTAATCATGTGTAGTCAATTATAATCAGCAATGTTAGAGATCCATACTTTTTCATCTTGTTGCCAAGGTTATTTATGCTATTATATCTTATGGGTACAGTGACTTAAAGTCATTTACTTCTCTGATAGACACTCTTAACTGATTCATACAAGTTGTGGTTCCCTTTACATTTATACAAAAATGCTTCAGATTTCTTTAATAAACAATCAGATACTATGGGGACAGGCACCAAGTATGAACATATACCATCCCTGAGGTAATTTTATATAATATTTTTAGTAATTTTATGCATGAAATAAGGATTCACTGCAAGGCATTTTCTATGTTTTTTCCTCATGTTGGTGGCTCAAAAGTTTCAGATTTTGGAGTACTCTGGATTAGGTATGCTTACTTACCCTATCTGTATTAGCATGGTGCAGAACACTAAATAGTTTAAGGCTGGGGTTGTAGCTCAGTAGAGTAAAGCACTTGTCTAGCACATGCAAAGCCCTGGTTCAAACCCCAATACCAAGAAGAAAATGTTGAAGCTAAGGCAATTATAAGTAGACAATTCAAAAATATATGATAAAAAATAAAACATGGACTTGATACATAAGTAATAAATACCTTCTCCAAAAAGGCTACAACTTTGTTCTTGATTTCTTCAGAATTGAGACACTGTGGAACTATCTCCTCGTGATTTGTTCCCTATTAAAACATCAGTAAACAAGACAGATCACTCATAGTTCAGCTACTTGTGGAGCCAATGAGTTTTTAAACTACCTTAACTGAAAACTCATTTTAAAAGAAAGTGGTACCCAAGGTTCTCAGAGTTCTGCAGAGCCTTATGTAATTTTGGCTTCTCTACACAGGGTGCTGCACGATTTAATTACCTGAGTCACTCTTGAACCAAAGGCATGACTGCACAGCAATGGGTCAGAGCAGAAGCAATTCCAAAGGAGAAGTTCCCCCAGCACTGCTGCAGACAGTGTCTGAGGCAGGCAGTTGACTCCAAATGCTTAATCCTTGCTAATCAGAGAACCTTGGGAAAAGGCACTTCATTTCCTTAGATCTTATAATGAGGCTTTGTAAACATATGATTAATATCTCCTCAGCAGAAAATTTTACAACTGAGATACATAAGTAGCTCAATATTTTTAAATGTTTTAGAATATTAGAAAGATTAAAATACACAGAGATCAATATGATAAACTGGGCTTACCTCAGCAAACTGAGTAAATGCCTCCAACGTATGTTGCTCGAGCAGCCAATTCTTGCTGGCTAACAGTAAAGCAAAAATACAAGACAGGTTGGGCAGCACTTTGTCCTACAAAAAGAACCAAACCTTGTTGGAGAAAAAACATCTTCAATACAGGATACTGTCAACTTCTGGGACACATTATGTTCTCTATTCCTTGCTCAAATCCTTCTAATAACTTCCAATTTCCTCCAGCGTAAAACCAGATGTTTACAAGATCAACAAAGCACCACCGCCCAATGCTATACTAGACGCCCTGAGTAATCAGACATGTTCCTGTCTATGAGGCTTTGCACTTGTTCTCTATACCCTGCTCAGAAGTCTTCCAGAGAAACAACATAGCTTTCTCCTTCCCTTTCAGATTTATACTTACCTGTCACCCTAGTAAGGGCTTCCTTTTCTTGTCCCCATTCGGAACTACCCCTCATATTGTGTCCCCCCATTTCTGCTTTACTTTCTCCCATAGCATTCACTACCACTTACTACACTACATATATCACGACTTTGTTGTCAACTGCTTCAGCAGACTGAGACTGCGGTTAAGTTATTACACCCCCAGCATGTACTTATTTGAACCTGTCTTACACCTATGAGTGTTGCATATGCTCATGAATCTCCCATCTCTTCAGGACCTGCCCTTACCCGGCCAGGTCTATAAGGTACTGCTATTCTGACAACAAAGCATTTGATGTACGGGTTCTGCAGCTAAGCAGCACCTAGATCTGCAGGAACAAAACAGCACTCTAGAATAAACTTATTTTATAATAAAGAGTACATGTCTGTAATCTCAGCATTCTGGAGGCTAAAACAGGATTGCAAATTTGAAACCACCCTGGGCTACATGTTGAGGCCGTTTCCAAAAAAAGGATGACGGCTCAAATGTAAGTTGGTATTTCTGTCAAAAAAGAAAGAAGCTGCCACCATCTATATTTATCTCATGAAACACAAGTTTACATGATGGAAACATGAATTTGTGTCATTTTCTTGTGAAGAAGTAAAAGAAAACTTGTGGAATTCAACTTTGTTTCAAGGATTTTTATCCATATGTACTGAAATACATCTTGCACCTTGAAAAGGTTCTCATCAGAGAGCATTTTATAATCTCTTTGAAGGTAAAACAAAGCCAAGAATCTAGAAACACTGGGATTTTATTACAATAGTAAGACAAAGCTCCCAGTTTAAGAGAATCTAATTTTGTCAGAAGGTCTTAAAATTTGGTAGTAGTCTTTCCCCAGGCCACCAAAATATAATTTTGGAAGCAAAATACACACTTGTCAGCTACACATATTTTACAATATTGTTAAAATACTGTCTCTAAAAATCAATGCTGTTTCATGAATCTACCTGCACAATAACTAATTACCAATTTCCTCACGGGACACTATTGCCTATAAGACATGAGTGCTTTCTTCCTTCAGATACTGGGACACAACAGACTATCTCAGAATATAGTAGGCAACTTGATAAATTATTTAAATGCCAACTCATTTTTTTTAAAGAAAATGACTTAAAATGTACTCTATTTTGTCAACGACCCTTCCTTATCAGGAAGTATTTCTTTTTCCACAACTTTGTTAGTAAATGCACAAGATTTTAGAAATCAAAAACCTATACTCAATGTGGTTCACACCACAGTTCCAGCAGTTAAGGAAGCTGAAGCAAGGGACCTGCCTCAGGTTCTATGCCAGGCTAGGATAGAGTGTGAGACTCTGTCTCAAAAACAACCAAACAAAAATCAAAAGCTTAAAATTTCCCTAGTTAGTACAGAGATCACTTTTAGATTTTGTATTTTTGTTAAAGAGTGTATTACCTGGATAGCCTGAGGTATAAAAAGTCTGCCCAGAGAAGATATGAAATCCAGCGCTGCCAGAGAGACATGGTCGGGAGGCTCTAATTTAAGTAATGAGGTCAGTAAAGTTACTACCTGATGAGGTAAAAACAGAGCAGTTGTAAGAAGAGCTGCTACCAAGGTGTAGTTGTGTGGGGAAGGGAAAGAAGACAAAATTCAAACAGCCTGTCTACAAAGCCTCCACTGTGGAAGCTGGGGAAGAACATCGGGTAAAAGAGTTAGTATTTCTTCTCACCATAGTCTCTTACCTCCAACTCATGTGCTTCGCTAATAAGCAATCAGAATTCTGTGTGGTGGTTAACTGCCCAGGAAATAGCCAAAGTTAGGAGTTCTGGTGGTGTGCTGAACTGCATTCATACAGTACTTTAAAAGGCACTGTCAGCAGCTAGCTATGAGGTTACAGAACACTGCCACCATGAACTTAAGGGTGATCCTCTGTTTCCTTGAAAAAAATAAGACTGTTTTCAAAGACTGGTACTGCTGAATTCCTTCTTTGGACCCCAGCTTATCTGACTGAGCATAGAGACAAATTTATATTACCATCTGTGTACCAAAAATGTGTGCTAACTAAGCATTTTGCATTTTCAATTCTACTGAAAGAAGTTCATTATTTAAAGCAACGATTTGCAAACTTGTTCTATAAAAAATCCAAACAGTAAATTTAGGCTTTATAGGCAACACATTATGTGTTGCATATAAATATAGTTATGGATATTACATATGACAAATATCATATAAAGCTAATATATATTTAACATTCTTTAAAAATGTAAAAAATTATTCATTGCTCTTAGGTTAAAAATAGTAAAGTGAATTAAATCAGGAGAGCTTAGTCAGCTCCTGATAATGGAAAGGGACAAAAGTGAAATCTACAAAGGACACAAGCCCTATTTCAACAGTTATATTGCAAGTGTAGACTTTAGTTGCTTAAAGCTTTTTAAAACTAAGCACTTCTTAAAATTATCCTATTTAGGGCTGGAGAGATGGCTCAGAGGTTAAGAGCACCTACTGTTCTTCCAGAGGTCCTGAGTTCAATTCCCAGCAACCACATGGTGGCTCACAACCATCTGTAATGAGATCTGGCACCCTCTTTTGTTTTTTTTTTTTTTGGTTTTTCGAGACAGGGTTTCTCTGTGTAGCTTTGCGCCTTTCCTGGAACTCACTTGGTAGTCCAGGCTGGCCTCGAACTCACAGAGATCCGCCTGGCTCTGCCTCCCGAGTGCTGGGATTAAAGGCGTGCGCCACCACCGCCCGGCTGGCACCCTCTTTTGTATACATAATAAATAAATTAAAAAAAAAATTATCCTATTTAATTTTTCAACATGAACCTTAGAAATTTCAGTCAGCAAATTCAAGCATTACTGCATTCAGTATGTGTTTTACCACATTCTTTCTTTACAATAGTCCACATTACACATAATTAGTATTTGCTTGCTAAGCTAATTTCTTTATATATACATTTAACAAGAGTTGCCTGAAACCAAGCTTTACCACTACTTTTAGTTCATTTTGTTCCAGTCCATCATATATGATGACAGATTCCACCTCTTTCATACCCTAAATAACAAGTTATTTCTACTGCTTTTTTTTTGTTTGTGGTTTTTTTTTTTTTTTTGCTTCCTGACCCTGTCCAATATGGACTCATTCCAAAGCTCTCAGTCACTTCAGATAAAAGGAAGGCACTCCCATGTTTTGTTGCCTCAGAAGCACCACCTTAGAGACACTCCAGACAGTAAAGCTGCCTATGCCCAGCCAGGTAAGCTGGGGTCCAAAGAAGAAATACAGCAGAACCAGTTTTTGGAAACACTTTAACTCTTTAAAGGAAACAAAGACAAGGCAATGTTGCATGATCTCAAAGCTAGCTGTTGACAGTACCTTTGCAAGTGCAATAAATGCAGAGTTCAGCACAACACCAGGACTCCTAACTTGGTTATTTCCTGGGCAGTCTGGCAGGCTATTTCCTGGGTTGTGCCACACAAAATTCTGACTATGTAACTGCAAAGCATAAAGCCTAAAGGTGACAGAGAACGGATGGAGGCTGAATCAACAACAAGAACACTAACAGAAGCTAGAAAGACATTAGGTTACAACCTTGATGAACACAAGCTGACACATTCAGTTGACAAGGAAAGGATTACAAAGGCTGAAGATTGAGCTCAGTTGGTAGAGTGAATGCCAGGCATGCACAAAGCCCTAGAATCAATTCCTGGCACTGCATACAAACTTGGTGTGGTGCCACATGCTTCTAAAGATAAAGGACAAGAAGTTGAAGGGCATCCTCTGCTACATAAGGAGTCGGAGGCCAGTCTGGGCTCCATAAGACAGATGGAAGGAAAGAAGGACAGACGGGCAGAAGGAAGGAAGAGGGACAAAGGATTAAAGGAGTTACAAGTAAACCAAATAAATCACTGCAGATTCACAAACAAGCAAAGAACCAACTTGGTCGCTGTTATTACCTGACTTATCAGTTGTGGATCTACAGTTTGGATGAAAAATGCCAGTAGTTGAAGTAAAAGGCTAAATGCCTGTTGAACATAGGGTTGACTGATTACCTTGAAAAGAAACAAAGTAATTTTGGTGAGAATTTTCAATTATGTGATGTAAGAGTTAGTTTTTCATCAACATGACACAAGCTGGAGTTATTTGGGAAGAACCTCAATTTAAAAAACACCTCTATCAGACTGCCTGTAGACAAATTGTAGGGCATTTTCTTGATTAATTATTGATATGCGAGGGCCCAGCTCTATGTGGGCAGTGCCACCCCTGGGCAGGTGGTTCTGGGTGTTCTAAGAAAACAGGTTGAGCAAGCCATAGGAGCAAATCAGTAAACATCACTCCTCCATGGGGTCTGCATTAGTTCCTGCCTTGAGTTCCTGCCCCTGACTCTCCTGGATGGTGGACTATAAGATGTAAGATAAACTCTATTCTCCTCAAGTTGCTTTTGGTCATGGTGTTTTATCACAACAGCAAGCCTAACTAAGATACATGAGAATAGCTACAATAGTATTTTACTAAGCATTTATTATATACCAGTCAATCTGTGATTTATAATTACTACCTCACCTATATGGTTTATAACAACTAAGTGGTAGATAATACCATACCCATTTTATTTTTGTTTTTTGGTGTCCATTGTAATAATAACAAAACAGGGTGAAGAAAGTTATTTGCTCAAGATCACATGGCTAGGAACAGAGGAGCCATCATTCAAAAAGAGGATTTAAAGGGTCTAATTACCACTGTCGGCCACTGAAAAACTTGTATATCCATTGGTGTTGGTCAAATTCTACCTCTTCATAGTGTTTATGTCATACTGATGTGAGGCACATCCCAGGACAGTGATGCTGAATGGCACTAAGTGCCATGTAAACATCAGTGGCAGCCTCTTCATAGTGTTTATGTCATACTGATGTGAGGCACATCCCAGGACAGCGATGCTGAATGGCACTAAGTGCTATGTAAACATCAGTGGCAGCCTCTTGATAACATGACCATAAAAATGGATCATGAAACCTAGTCTTTCTCCAGGGCTAGGTTGTAGCTCAGTGGTAGAGCACACAGGAAGCCCTGGGGTTTGACTTCCAGGAAACCTGAACATCTAAGAGCCACTATCTGCAAAATAATTTCTATTACTTCCCCAGAGTTTGTGTTTTTCTCTCAGCTTCCACTGGCTGCCAGAGGTCACATGCTCAGTTAGAGAAAACAAACATTGTACTTGAAATGTTTAAATCTTTAAAATAAGAAACTTAAGTTTACAACCATATGTAGGGGATATGTTCTAATTTTAGCCTAATAACCACTTGATTTCCTGGCTTTGCTGGGGAAGAGGAATACAAATTAGCTACATCCACTCACTAGACCCTTTCACTTTAAAGTCAACTCACTATCTTGTCATCTGAATTATTTTAAAAAAAACCCAAAACCTCAAAATGACAAACAGACATCAATCCAACAGGGGGAAAAAAGATGAAACTTAATTTTTAAAAGGGTTCAGATAGATGGACTGTGGTTGCCACTATGGTAGGGTCCAAGATTAATATCACACACTAGAGAAAAACAAAACAAACAACAACACAAAAAGTCTGCCTGAAAGGGCCTAAGGAGATGGCTCAGTCAGTAAAATGCCTGATGTGCCAGCATGAGGACCTGAGCCCCAGGGGCCACACAAAAAATGAGTGGCAGAGCTCATCTGTAACCATAGCACTTTGGGAGGAAAGGGGTAGCAGACGTAGATACACACGCACACACATACCCAAAAAAATGCATACACTCCTTTATCCCCACACACATATATAACAAAAGTCTGAGAGAGAACACAATTAGGTGAATTCTAATCACAACTTCGACCTATCGCCTCAAGAAATTAGAAATTTTAATCTATAGGGAGATTGCAATATTCTCTCATCAATATTCTATAGTTTTCAAAGAAATGATGAGTAGCTAGCTTCCTTACTTGTTGAATGTTTATAAAAGCCCAAAGCTGACTGACAACTTCAGTAACTGAAGTTTGCTGTCTAATATCCAAAGCATCACCAGCAGAATTACATACGGTAAGCAAAGCCGAGAGTGCTGTGTTCTAAAGGGGAGAAAAGAGAAAGTGTCAGTTCACAAATCTAAAGGACCAGGGGCCCAATTGTAAACACTGGATGAGTTACTTACAACTGTTCATAACAATCCACATGACTAAGACATAAAGCCATCTTTTTCAGCTTTTTAAAACAAATATATATGAAAATTTTAATACGATTATTAAGATCAGTTTTCCTTGCACATAAAAGCATGTTCTCCTTTTAGATTGAATTTTTCATTTAAAATAGCAGCAACAGCATTGACTTTTACTAGGCTTTTGTCCTGTTTTTCTTGTTTTTTCTGTTTTGGTCAGCTTAACAAAAGCTAGAATTATCTGGGAAGAGGAACCTCAATTAAGAGAATGCCTCCATCAGATTACCTGTAAGCAAGTGTGTAGGGCATTTTCTTGATTGGTTACTGGTGTGGGAGGGCTCGGCCAACTGGGGGTTTTATGCCACCCCATGAGCAGGTGGTCCTGACTGTGGATGAGAACAGGCTGAGTAAGTGATGGGGAGCAAGCCAGTAGGTGGCGCTCCATCATAGCTTCTATTTCAGTTCCTGCCTTGAGTTCCTGCCCTGATGTCCCTTCATAATGGACTCTAAACTGAAAAAACTCTTCCTTCCCCAAGCTGCTTATGGTCATTGTGTCTGTCACAACAATAAAAACCTAACACATGGTGAGCAAAGTTGGCCTAATTTAAAATATTTATCAAAAGAAAGCTGTATTTTTTTCATCTGTACACACAGCAATCTGCATAGGTTACTAGATTTTTTATTATTTTTGGTGTTTTACCATGAGATGCTACAGAAAACATTACATTTTATACACAAATAAAGTATTTAAGAAATATACTGTCTAGAATTTGAAACAGAAAACAACCTTTTCTGGATTCATTCTCAATTCTACATACAAAAACTCAGATCTCTTTCTGGCTTGTACTAAAGTCTGGGGGTGGTGTGTATAGAAAGAAGGCCATACTAAAATCTAATAGTCAGTAACACTGACTTGAATCCTATACTTCAATATCTACACCCATGCTGGAATTGCCTTACACCATCTCTTTCAAAATTAATCTACTTCCCTTTACAAATAAATACATTCAGCAAGTTTTGCACATAGCTTAAGGAGTTAATTTTAGAAAATTAGTGCTTATACCTAATACACCCAAAATATTTTCATTATAAAAAGTGTAATGTATATTGAGAAGTCTACTAAGTTTGCTGAACAATTAGAAACTAGTGCATATTAAATACAAATGACAAACTTAACCCATCCATGATTAGCTATAATAAATAAAATAAAGCCACAAAAGCCTTCTTTGATTTTATGTAAATGTTTTAAACTACCTTAATAATTATGGTCCAACTGCCACTTTACAACAGTACAGAAGAACAACTTAGTATGGAAACATATGCCTTGAGCAACTTCTAATCAAAAATTAAAAGAAAGCTTCCAAGTGCTTGAACGTATACTTTATCCCTGCTAAGTTTCTGTATACTTACCATAGAGGTATTTATTATACTGTGTACTTCTTAGCTAGAATATACATCTATAAAACTAGGAGGTTTCTTAATTTTGTTTCCTGTTACATCTACCCCCAATGACTAAAACAAAACGTATTACATAAGATCACTCAAAGTTTATTTGGTGAGTAAATGAACAAGCAAATGAAGACTGAAGTGGAAAATTCAACTGCAGGTACTGTATCTAGTCCATCTTTAAAAATCATGTATCTTCTACTTACAGACGAACTTTTTGTTTGTTTTATGAGGAAACAATTAAATAGAATGCTACATAAAAGCTCAGAGCAGTTTTCTGTAAAATGCCTGTTGTATTTTGTCAAATAAAAGAATCATGTCTAAGCTGGTCATAATGGTACACACCTGTCATCTAGCACTAAGGAGGCTAAGATCCTGAGTTCAAAGCTATCCTGGCCTATGCAGTAATAAGATCCTATCTAAGGGGGAGGAAGTGAATCATATCTGCTTCATCCAGATAGGTGCAACCAGAAATAGTAAATGAAGTGCTGTCATGTTTTCCAAATGGGTCTTACCCAAGAGGAAACCTTCCTGCTCAGTTTACATTAATTGATTAAAATTTTCTCAAAGATCCTTTTAAATAATGTACATACTGCTAGGTTTTGAAAGAGCACATCTCAGAGACTGTAGCTATCAGCTGAAACAGTGCTAAGTCAACTGCTGAGTTAATCAAAACTATCTCACCAGATAGTCAAGTTCTGACAAAGTATGACTGCTGCTCAACCATTTTATGCACTGTGCTGTGCATACTCTGATCACTTCACACGCAGCTTGTTTCCTAAGATCAGCAGACAATGACTGGAAAGAAATACACTGCCACAGAGGCAAGTTGTCAGCTTCTTTCGGAGAAAATCTCCGGATAAATTCCACCTGAAATAAGTTGAGAATAAAATGAGCAACTTCAGACTAATGGATGACTGGACATACAAGAAATGAATATTAACTTCAACACTTAGGCCAGGTGTGGTGGTCTATACAACTCCAACATTCAGGAGACAGAGGCATAAGTATCTCTACAAGTTTGAGGTCGCCCTAGTCTACATAGTGACCCAGGGCAGCCAGGGTCACATACTGAGATCTTGTCTCAACCAACAAAAATTTTTAAAATCTGCTTCATAAATGCACAGTACTGGGTACCAGACCAACACAACATAAATGAACATGATTATTTTTGTTGCTACTGTATTTGTTTCCAAAATGAAAAGTCATGCTTAAATGAAGCATGATACAAAATGCACTAAGGAGTGTTAAATAATGTATTTCATTATTATTCACATCAGATATTTTATCTTCTTTCTACCCAGTAGATCTGCTATCTTCCAAGTACTCATCACCTTATACAGTTACGTCAATCTAATATTCCAGATATGGCAAGGTTAATTCACCACTCTCCTGGCTTTTAGCTTAGCTTACTGCATTTGGGAACATGAAACCAAGATCATAGGTCCAGTTTACAAATGATTAGCCGGCTCTGCTCTGCCTTAGAGGACATACTAAATTAGTCTTCCAAAAGGAAGCTACAAAACAAAACAAAACAATGATATGATTGTTAAATCCATTTTCCCCTGAAATATAATCCAAAGTGTAGCATGAATCTTAAAGAGTCTTATTAATAAAAACAAACCCAGAGCCAGGTATTGGGATGAACACTGAATGATCAGAGAGACAGAACAAGCCACAGCCACCTCACCTTACCAATTCCTCAGCTGATCCTGTTTCCTCAGATTGGATGCCTCTCAGCTGAACTGTGCTACTCAAAAACCTAAAAGCTTAACCAGCTCTAGTTCCTGGTCCTCAGCCTTATATCCCTTTCTGCTTTCTGCCATCACTTCCTGGGATTAAAGGCTCACTTCCTGGTATTAAAGGCGTGAGTCACCATGCCTGGCTGTTTCCAGTGTGGCTTTAAACTCACAGAGATCCACATGGATCTCTGCCTCCCAAGTGATAGGATTAAAGGCGTGTATGCTACCATTTTCTGGTCTTTATGTCTATCTAGTGGCTGTTCTGTCCTCTGACCCCAGATAAATTTATTAGAATGCACAATATTTTTTTGTTGTTGTTGTTGGTTTTTCGAGACAGGGTTTCTCTGTAGTTTTGCGCCTTTCCTGGAACTTACTTTGTAGACCAGGCTGGCCTCGAACTCACAGAGATCCTCCTGCCTCTGCTTCCTGAGTGTGAATGCACAATATTTTGGGGAACACAATATCACCACACCAAAGTGCTTACTGCGTTAACAGAAACACAATACTGTTCTGTTAAAATGCAGATGTCAAGAAGACTCAAATATAGGAACTAAAATTTCAAACACTAGTTCAAATGTTAGATTAGAAAAATAATAGTGTATTTAATTGCTAAATTTGTGGAACCTAAGAAGATTACTAGTATATTTTTAAACAAATGAGACAATTCAATTTATAATATTTAAACTTCACTAAATATAGGAAAACTTGTCATACATCAAAAGCTGAACAAAAATCCCTTCTAAGCCCAAAGCAATACAACATGACACTTGATAGTGCCAGACCTTGCTATTATCTATTTGTACATGTAGCTGACAAAACAAGTGAGAGACTGTGGTCATCTGCTATGACAGAGCCTACAAGAAAAAGGATCCTTCAAGAGCTGAGTGTCAATTATAACAAACAACTTCAGCAGAAAACTACAGTGCATCAAGAAAGCCATGATTTGGTTGACTGGAGAAACAATTCATTCTTCCTTATAATAAGGTTGAATAAATCAACAAATGGGTCCCCTTTCAAAAAATAAATGACATATAGTAATGTCCTATGCAGTAAAAAAATTTTTTAAAAAGGTGTTACCAAAACTGATCACTTCAGAGTTCCACACTCTATTCTGAGGTTAAAACATCACTTTAAAGATTTAAAACTAAAAGATTCAAAGATTTAAAGGGCTGACAGTTCGAGAAGAGTGGAGTGTAAGGAAACTGTAGAAAATATAGATTCCACTAAGAAGGGAAATATACCTGTGGGCTTAAAATGAAAATGTAGTAATTTTTACCTTACATAAAAATAGTAGCACAACGTGATGGTTACCTTTAATTGCAACTTAACACAATCTAGAATTAGCGGGGCAGAGAGTCTCAATATGGAACTGTTTACATTGGGTATGCCTGTGGAGGTTGTCGTAATTAAGTTACTGATATGGGAAGACCCAGCCTACTGTGGAAGGCACCATTCCCTAAGCAGGGAGTCCTGAACTGTGAGAAGAGTGGAGAAACTACGCTAGGCACAAGCAAGAGAGCATGGATGCATTTGTTTCTCTTTGTTCTTGGCTACAGATGTGATATGACTAGCGGTCTGAATTTCCTGCCTTGACCTCCCTGCAACAAGGGAGGAATTTACCTGGAATTTCAGCCAAATCAATTCTCTCTTCCTTAAAGTTGCTTTCTGTCAGTGTTTTATCACAGCAACGGAAGTGAAACTATAACACACAATTACTAGCATGTTTAAATAAGGCACATTACTTTTCCTTCAATCAGGTAACAACTAAAATAATTTGAGTGCTGAGTTATAATACATATTCAATCCTTATTCCCATGGAAACAGAAACACATCTTAGCATGTGTCAGCTTTTAGTAAAACATCTCCATTCTGATGTGTGTTAATGCTGCGTCACTGATATAAATCAGGATTCAAGTCAAAGCCAAAGGCTTTACGGGCAAATTTCTTTTGTGTATCTAGTGGATTCCAAGCTCGACTCCTTGTCAGAATCACGTCAAGTGCTTAACAACAAAAGCAAATTGCTGAGCCTTATTCACACCCACCGCTGCATTTATAGGTCAGAGTCCAGACACTTGTTTTTAAATACCAACAAAAACCCTGCTATGGGAGTTCCAATGGTACCCATCTACCAGACTGCACAAGGCTACTCAAGCCCCGGAGACAGGAATGTCCTCAATCGTGGCAAATCTTGTTGACTTCACAACAGCAAGCAACTGAGGCTTACCATACTTGTAACTTTTCCTTAAAAACGAAGATACATCATTCAAGGCATAACAGAATTAATAAATGGAATAAAGGCACAGAGCTATCTCATTGCCCACAAATATCTTAAAGACATGGGGAAACAAAAAAAGGAGAAAGAGGTATTACAGGAAAACTGAATCAGATTTTATCTGTTAAGCTGAAACAGGGACATCAAAATCTCCACAGACCTAAAATCAATTACCAAAGCATCAATGTTAATTTATGTTCCAGTCACACTACATTTAAACAGGGAGGGATCTGAACTCCATTCTCACACGTGATTGAAGACACTGACACAGACAATATTCTTGCCTGATGGGGTGGGGTCATGAAGAAAAAGAGACGCCTCAACAGTAATGTCAGGTTGGTAAGCTGAATACACTCTCCAGGGCAAGATTTTATCTGGAAAGTCAGGAAAGAAAGAAGAGAATGTGTTAAAACCAGAGAGTCAATTTCTTTCTTTCTTTCTTTTTAAAGATTTATTTATTATGTATACAGAAGAGGGTGCCAGATCTCATTACAGATGGTTGTGAGCCACCATGTGGGTGCTGGGAATTGAATTCAGGACCTCTGGAAGAGCAGTCAGTGCTCTTAACCTCTGAGCCATCGCTCCAGCCCGAGAGTCAATTTCTAAGACACAATTATATGCCAAAATACTAATGACTCTTTCTGAGTGATAGGACTATAGCTAATTTTAATTTTTAATTTAGGGCTATTAATTTCTTTGCTTCAAAGAAATTTGGTTGCTTTAATAATGAAAAAGGAACTCTTACGTTGTATTTAAAAACACAATAATTACCACTTTGACAATAACTTGGTATGTTAATGTCACTATGCGAGATAATTTATGTAATTTTAAAGATCTAAGCACACTAATGTTCAGTGAAGCTGAGTTAGCATTTATAAGGTAATCCTAGCCCTAGGAGGCTGAGGCAAGGACACATGAGTTCAAGGCCAGCCTAGACTAAATATTTTGGTCTCCAAAAAAAAAAAAAAAAAAAACAAATTAAGAGGGACTGGAGATGGCACAGCATTAAGAACCTGCAGAGGACCCAAACTTGGTCCCCAGCACCCAGATTAGGCCACTTACAAACCACCTTGTAACTCCAGCTCCCAGAGATCTGACACCTCTGGCCTCTGTGGAAACATGCATTTACATGCCCATACATACAGAGGCACACATAATCTAAGAAAATAATGTTTTTATTTAAAAAAGTGAATAGCAAAGACTGAAGCTGTAAGAATGTAAGGAATTGCTCTCTCTTGTGCAGCATGTGTGTGCCAGGCCTTCCACTAGGAAGTACCCTGCTATGAGCTAGAGAGGTATAAATGTCAGCTGTTCAGGTTATGCTCCTCATCACGGGAGCATACAGTCACTAAATGACATGCAGAAATACATGACACAGTAACTGCTAAGAATCAAAGGGCAGACAAGTTCAGACATGATCATTATCAAAGGCTATGGATAAAAATAGCGACAAAAAGGTCATAAGCACTTCATACGGAACACATTTCATAATTAAAAATCACCATTAAAGATAAAGAAACCATAATGCTGGTACTCAGTAACAAACCGACTTTTTTTCCTAAGAACAATGATCACAATCACTGAATCCCTTTCACACCATCCTGACTATAAAATACACAAAATCATAGGAGACCTCAAGTTATATTAAAGAGGAGATGGGCACTTAGCCAATGTCACAGTTTCACTTTCACTTTACATTCAATTTTAAAGACATTGTCAATTGACCGAGACTTCCCCCCCCCCCCCACTACAAACTCTAAAATTCCACTGAATTCTAAAATTCTGAAAATGACAAAATTCTCCACTTTATATGGTGGGTTTTTTAACTACATTTTTTGTACTAGCATTAGCATTAAGTTAGCAATTAAAAACAATTAGCATTAAATTTGGCTATTATTGGGGCTAGAGACATGGCTCAGTGGTTAAGGGTATTGGCTAGTCTTCCAGAGGTCCTGAGTTCAATTCCCAGCAACCACATGGTGGCTCCCAACCATCTGTCATGAGATCTGGCGCCCTCTGCATACATAATAAATCTTTAAAAAAATTTTTTTTAGCTATTATTGCTCCCATTTTTATTAACATCCAAAAAATATCATATCTCTTTCTAGCACTTGGGAGGCAGAGGCAGGCGGATCTCTGAGTTCCAGGCCAGTCTGGTCTACAAAGCAAGTTCTAGGCTAGCCTGGGCTATTACACAGAGAAACCCTGTCTCAAAACAAACAAATAAAAAAAAAAATCTTACCTCCAAAGAAAACACAGAAAGTGGGTGTTTTAGGCTGTTTCATTCTACTTACCAGATGAGCCACTAAGGTGACATGATGCATACAAAGTTCAGCTGTTCCATATCTATGATATTAAAAGAGTCACTGAGTTTCCAGTTAGAAGAGCAAGAAACCAGAAACACCCTTGTGAGGACATGTGATCTATTACAGGCTGAACACCCTTTATCTGAAATGTCTTATACCAGAAGTGTTTCAGATTTTAGATTTTATCAGATTTTAGAATATTTACATATATGTAATGAGATTTGGGGATGAGTCTAAATCTAAACATTAAACTCATAACTGGCTATATACATAACTTAATTTTTATTTACTATTTCTAGTAATCTTGAGCATTAAACTGTTTCAAGGAAGGTAACTTTTCACTGTTGGTACCATCAGTGCTCAAAGTTTGGGATTTTAGACATTTTGGATTTCAAATTAGGCATGTTCAAACTAGATGCCCATCACCAAGGAACATCAAAATATATAGATTTGCCTAAACATTCACCTACTAGCTTAAACATTGAAAAACCAAAACGGACACCTGTTTCCAAACTTAGTATAGTGACATGAAATCTAACCATGGAAAGATTACAGAAGCAGGGCTTCTCTATTAACTTTAAACCATTTACTGCTGGTCACTACTAGGACTCCATCCAAACACAGAAATGGCATTTTTTACCGAGCAAGGAAACACCACACATCCATCGCTAACAATGAGGTGGTCATATTAGTACTAAGCACAGCATTCAACAGAGCAGCATCCTATGAAAAAACAGAAATGTCAATTTATTACTAGGCAGATGCTCATGAAATATTAACATTACATTTCTCACACTAACTCAGAAAGCAATATCAGAATCAAAATAAGAGATCCTCAGTGGGCTATCTCTGCATGCTAGTATCTAAAAGAATTCTACTGCCATTCCTTTATCTGTTGAGGAACTACTATATGTTCCTCATTGTGTTGAGCTGAAGGGGAACAGAAACCAATCTTAAGTGTGCTAACTCAGCCCTTGTGAGCCACAAAGAGCATTCTCTGAAAGCTTCCAAGCAATATGACAATTTTTTTCTAAAATATTTCCAACCTTTTTAACAATCTAATTTATTAAAAATAAAATCATCTATAACAGACCAAGTATTACACATTACTATTTACTTTTTATGAAAGAGTACAGTGGTTTGAATGAAAAATAAATATCCCACAGAGGCCCAGGTATTTGAACATTTGGTCCCCAATCCTTGCTGGAGAAAGTACATCACTGAGGGCAAACATTGAGAGTTTATAGACTTGCTCCACTTCCAAAGAGCTTTGTTTCCTGTGTGTGGTTGAGATGTGATCTCTCAGCTTCCTGCCTGGCCACCAAATGCCATGCCTCCCCAGGCATTATGTGGACTTGTCTTATGGAACTTTAAACCAAAACAAACTCCTCCTTTTTTAAGTTGCTTTTTATCATAGCAACAGAAACATGACTAGTACATTAGGTAATATCCCCTTATGTTTTCCACTTCTCATGGGATTTTCTTACACCTCCCCCCCCACAAAACACAAAATGTTTTATCAAGTGTTTTAGCCATCTAGTATTGTATGAGCAAGGACTGCCATTTCTTAGGACACAAATGAACCAAAGGACAAAATGTGCAAGTTGAGGTGACTGAGGTTTACTATAGTCATTAATTCTCAATTTGTTCTTCTACATATCAAATACAACTTCAATGAAAAGAAACCAAAGTGTGAACTCCACTTTTCAGGTTTGTAGTACACTTACCAGCTCCGGAAACAGTGAGGGATGAAAAGAAGCCACAAACGCACACAGATGAACACAAGCGTGCTGATACAAAGTGACCTCAGCTTGCCCATTATCCTTTACTCCCTGTAAAGGAGCAGTCGGAGAGAGTTCACCAGAACACCGCTCAAAATTGTAGAAAACAGCTTTGATTAGGGACACCCTGCAGGAAAATTAAGAACATTGAGCCCAGCATTATTAGAAGTTAACAAATAGCAAGTAAAATAATGTCATATACACGGCTACTTCAGAGAACCAAAACATCAGGTGATAAAAAAAAAAATCAATAGTAATTGAAAATGCATATAAATATAATGACACATAAAAAATAAATTAACTGCCAGGAAGAAAAAAATCTTTAAAGAATTTTCCTGAACAAACCTTTTTCAAAATGGGCATGTAATCTTAGGAAGAAAGAGACAGGAGGATGCCAAGAGTTCCAAGACAGCCAGGGCTACACAGCAAGACCCCATCTTAAACAAATAAACAAACAAACCCAATAAAATAAATAAATAAAAACATCTCCATCATTTACAATAATGCCAAGTTACATAAAATCAAACTCAAAATTTTTTATGGAGCTTAGCTAAATTATTATTTTTAAACACACATGGAAGGATCATTTTAAGATAGAAATAGTTGAAATTTTCATGAAGGTTTCAAGTAACAAATTAAAAATAAAATATGAAAGCCTGTAAGAGACAAACTAATCTGATATGATTGAGTTCATGCTATGTTAAAAATAAAAGAGGAGTTAAAAATAAAAGCCAGAGCATGGGAGAAAAGGGATCCAACAGTGCCTTCTGGAAAGAACAGGATTGTGCACTTGTAAACTCACTGAAGCTGTGGTTGCCTACACAAGACCTGTACAAGATCAAGTTAATCAACATCCTCACATGGGGGTGGAGGAGACAAGTGTCTCAACAGTCCCTGCTCCTGACAGTAGATGGCTTCTGACAGTCCGTTCAAGGGTATGGCCCCTGGTTGGTTAACCACAGTCCACTTAATGGCCACAGACCCATGGGTATATGGAAACACATGAGGACACAGAGTTGGGAATGAATGGGAAGTCAGGGAAATTTTAGGGTGAAGTTGGTGGGTGAATATGATTAAAATACATTGTATGCATGTATGACATTCTCAAATAATAAAAATATTTTTTTTTATGCCGGGCGGTGGTGGAGCACGCCTTTAATCCCAGCACTCGGGAGGCAGAGCCAGGCGGATCTCTGTGAGTTCGAGGCCAGCCTGGGCTACCAAGTGAGTTCCAGCAAAGCTACACAGAGAAACCCTGTCTCGAAAAACAAAAAAAAAAACAAAACAAAAAAAAAAAATTTTTATATATTTTATATGAAGAAATCAGGTATTAAAGTCAACAATAACAGAACGGGTTGCAAAATTTCAAAGTTAGAATATTACTTCACTTTAGAGCATACCAGTTTGAATCTCAGACTGCGGAATGAAAAAATTAGGAGCATAGCAATAATCCTGTTAGTAACAAACTAGCACCTGGACTACAGGAGTGTTAAAGAGGGTGAAGACAAGTGACGTTTCCTGGGAGACACTGTACAGTATCACAGCTTTTTTACAAAAAGGTTTAGTTTTATTTATGCATATGCCTGTGTGTACATCTGTGTGTGTATGTGCACATGTGTAGCCCAGGAAACTCGAGGGTGTCAGATTCCCTGAGGCCTGAGTCACAGGTTATTTGTAAGCCACTAGACACAGGCACTAGGATCCAAACTTGGGTCCTCATGACTGAGCAGCAAGCTCTCTTAAAAGATATGCCACCTCTCTAGCTCCTATTTTAGCTCATTTTTACAGGCTATTATTTGCATCTATCTCCATTATAGTCAATGTTTTTACTGCCAACCAATGGGTAATAATCAGTGAATAAAATTAAAATATTTTTAGCATCTGTTATAAATATTTTATATCTTTGACATGGCAGTTTTTCTACACAACAGCTATTAAGCAGACTATGACAAACTGGTTCAAGAGCTTCTCTGTCTCAGTATCCTGCAGAAGAGGGATTATAAGAACACACCATTATAACATGAATTGCCAAATGGTCTTTCCTGTGGATATCGCTCTGTATAAATAAAATGCCGATTGGCCAGTAGCCAGGCAAGAAATATAGGCAGGACAAGCAGAGAAGAGAATTCTGGGAACAGGAAGGCTGAGTCAGAAGACACTGCCAGCCACCACCATGAGTACCAACATGTAAGATACTGGTAAGCCACGAGCCATGTGGCAAGGTATAGATTTATAGAAATGGGTTAATTTAAGATGTAAGAACTAGATAGCTAGAAGCCTGCCACAGCCATACAATCTGTAAGCAATATAAGTCTCTGTGTGTTTACTCAGTTGGGTCTGAGTGGCTGCGGGACTGGCGGGTGAGAGAGATTTGTCCTGACCGTGGGCCAGGCAGGACTGAAGAAACTCTCTAGCTACAGGTCTTATTAATAAAAAACCCGGAGGCAGATACTGGAGTGAAAACTGAGAGATCAGAGGAATAGAACAAGTCAAGCCACAAGTTCTTACCACTAGGAAATTCTCAGCCCAAGAGACAGTTATTTCCTGTATACTCACGCCTATGTACCTTTCTGTGCTCTGCCATCTTACTTCCTTTCTCCGCCCAGCTTCATTACTTCCTCTTTCTGCCCAGCTCTATCACTTCCTGTCTGTCTGTCCAGACCTCCAGACCTCTATAGTTGGATTAAAGGCCTGTGTTATCATTGCCTTATTTAATATAGTGGCTGGCTTTTTCCTCTGATCCCCAGATAAGCTTTATTGGGGTGCACAAATAACATATCACCACACACCATGTCTGGCTTAAACTAAATTCAAGGCCATTTCAAATAGGGTCCCCTAAGCCACTGGTAATATGATTACATATAAACAAAATGTTACCTAGCCGTAGCTTCTGTGCACCACAGGGTCTGTACATCCTTAGGCTGAGAGGGCAGTTTATCCGTAACAACAATCAGGAGTAGGACTTGTGGGAGCTGCAGTTCACAGGGCAGGTCTTTTCAGAAATAAAGTCATATATTAAAACAAATTGGTAAACATTTCTAAAATATTTTCAGCAGAAATTTAATAGTTTAATACAAAGAAAATAGAAGTATGACTTAATAGATAATATTTCAATAAAAGTACAATAAATTTTAAATAAAATTTTAAAATTTCACAAAATAGTAACTGCTTAAAGGGAAACAACTACATCTGACATGCCATTATTAAGGCAATGATTTAAATCTGTTTTGAAGCTTACCTAGTTTACTATCCAAAACTGCCTGCACGAAAGGCTGGGATGTGAGCAGCTGACTGATGAGTGGGTCCAGTACCACAAGGAAAGTGCCTGCTATCTCCTCCTGCTGTGCTTTGGAAATCCTGGCAGCACATAGGTTTGGGGGAAACTTGCTGCAAACAAAGGTGAAAAACCTCATGCATTTAATAGCTAGCTTCTGGATTTAAACAAATGTATTACAAGCTCATGTCCCAGTAGTGAAAAAGCAAAAAAAGTACGCATTTTATAGGAAAAAAAGCTCAAAATACTGAATTGGTAGCAGAAAGATATGAAGACCTAGAAACTAAATAACATAGCTTTAATTCAATAAAGAAAATATTTTCTGGAGAAATCCAGTACTATTTTGAGGCATTGTAATACCATTTGATGATGGTCTCCTTAAAAAAAGTAAAGACAAGTATTAAATCAACTAGTAAAATCTATGTAAAAAGATAGGTCTGATATATTCTGGCTTAGTTACTTCTATTGAAAGTTGTTAAATAGCTTATCTGTAACTTCAATATTCAGGAGGCCGAGACAGGAAGACTACACTGGGTTTGAGGCCAGAGTTCAGACCCTATCTCAAACAACCAAAAATAAATAAGTTAAACTAAAAATAAGATAAAATAGTTGTTTTAAGATAGGTAAATTCACTGGGCAGTAGTGGTGCACGCCTTTAATCCCAGCACTTGGGGAGGCAGAGGCAGGTGGATCTCTGTGAATTTGAGGCCAGGCTGGTCTAAAAATGTGAGTTACAGGACAGCCAGGACTGTTACACAGAGAAAAACAAAACAAAACAAAACAAACAAACAAAAGGGTCAATGCTGAATTTACTATAAATTTTGTTTCTTAAAAGCTAAGTTTTTTAAGAAATAGTATAAAAACACTAAAGGGGATTAAAAAGATTTTCATAGAAATGTCTCAGTAATGGATTTAAGCTTCAATTAAAATCTTTATGAAATGAGATATGTACTCAATATTTTTGCAGTTACTTGATATTTAATTATGGTAAGTGTGACAATTATAAGCAAACTGTCTAATGTGTAATGTAACATTTAAAAGGATGCACCTAACAAATACTTGAAGTCTTTCGAAGTGTGACAAAGAAAAGCACTACTTCACATATAGTCTGTAGGTAGAGTTTTCCTGCCTGGCCCACAGTCAGGACAAATCTCTCTCACCTGCCAGTCCCACAGCCTTTCAAACCCAACCAAGTAAACACAGAGGCTTATTTTGCTTACAAACTGTATGGCCGTGGCAGGCTTCTTGCTAACTGTTCTTACAGCTTAAATTAACCCATTTCTATTAATCTATACCTTGCCACGTGGCTCGTGGCTTACCGGTATCTTCACATGCTGTTTCTCATCGTGGCAGCTGGCAGTGTCTCTCTGCCTCAGCCTTCCACTTCCCAGCTTTATTCTCCTCCTTGCCCCGCCTACACTTCCTGCCTAGCCAACGGCCAATCAGTGTTTTATTTATTGACTAATAAGCAACACATTTGCCATACAGAACATCCCACAGCACTTCCCCCTTTTCTTTTTTCAAAAAGGAAGGTTTTAACCTTAACAAAGTAAAATTACATATAATTTGGGAATTTGGGCGTAGCTTCTCTTACTACTTCCTGCTGGAGGGGGGCGCTGTATCTTATGGGGAAATAAAGAAAATTTTAGGATTATGGAATAGTCCATGAGGCTGTATCGTCTGAGCCAGATGCCTTCAAACCGTTCTGGATGTTGGATCATCTGGGCCATGGTGTCATCGGAGACCTTTCAGGGGGTCTTGGCTGGTCAAACCTGATGTGTCTTAATCTGGAACAAATCCATAGCCTCTGGCTTTCTGTGGAAACAAAAGCAGAGTCTCCTTTCCAAAGTAACATATCCTTATATCCAAATTTTGAAGTCAAGGTACCTTTAAAATATACATTTTGGCATAACTCAACAGCTTTTACAATCAAATGTTTTTCTGCAGTTAAAAGTCCCAAAGACAACACAATGCAGATTCTCTGTGTAATATCCATTTTTACGTGGCTTATTTTTTATACTACCTTTACTGTCTTTTTAAAGATTTTATTTTTTAAAACTATGTATTTGTTTCTATAACTCTATATATCATCTTTTTTGTCTCTTTCAAGCCTACGTATCTTTTACACACATTGCAAACTATTACATCTGAATCTGTCTTATTGTGAATCTCTTGCTTTAAACTGCAGCAGCTGTGGCTGCTGGCTTCGCCCACCTCAGCTTCCCAACATGGCAGTGGTTTACCGCCAGCTCTGGGAGCTATCGTGGGTCTATGCTTTTATCCAAGCAGCAAGTAGCCCAGAAACCCTTTTTTGTTTTGCACTAGCAAAGGCTAAATCCACCATGTAGCTTAATGTGCCACTTGCAGAGGCCTCATTCCCGCCATACTGCAGGTCGAGCACGCACTCTAGGAACCCACCAGTAGCTCAAACAGGCAGCTGCCGCTCATTTGAGAGAGACAATTAGGAAGCTGTTTTTAGCTCCGTTTTAGAATCTTTTTTTTCTCAGTTTTTAGGTGGAAACTCTTGCCACCACGTTGGACGCCATTTGTAGATGTATCCAACCTTCCCATCAAACAATAAACACAGAACCAATGCAAAGAAGAAAGCCAAGAGGTCAGAGCCAAGAGCCAAAACCTTACCCTTCCTCCTGCAGTGGTCCTACCTCTCCGAACCAGAGCTACCCCTGTGTTAAAGTCTTTATATAGAGTTCCTGTCCTGCCTTCTCATTGGTTGTAAACCCAACCACATGACCGCCTCCTCACAGCCTGTCTGTATAGGCCTCCAGGTTTTCCATGATTGGTATTAAGATTAAAGGCATGTGTATCCAATAATGGCTGTATCCCTGAACACACAGAGACTTACCCAGCTCTGCCTACTAAGTGCTGGAATTACAAGCGTACGCTACCACTGCCCTGCTTTCCTATGGCTTGCTAATAGCTCTGACCCCCGGGCAACTTTATTTATTAACATACAAATAACATTTTAATACAAATAAAATATCACCATAATAGTCAATTACCTACATCACTTTGTTCACTTATCTGACCTCCTTAATTCTGTATTCCTTCCTCTGTGACACAGTTAACAAGATGTTTAATTGTTAAGAAGAATAAAATAAATAAATAATAGATGAATAAAATAAAATACAAGTAATGAAATTCCAGAGACAACCACTAAACATCTAAATACTTTATTTTTCAAATATGTACTTGTACACTAATTCATAAGTGTTGAAATGTCTATTAGCAGGATGCACTGATTGAGGAGGAGGTTCTATTGTAGTGCTAAAAAGAATATAGAAAACACTTCCCTCTACATGGTTTACATTTTAATGAGAGGAGACAGTTAAGTAAAAAAGTAAACTTGTTTAACAGTCTCCTCTCATCTATGACTTGTTTCTTGAAGTAACTGTCTGAAAAATACTAATTGAAAAAATGCAGAAAAACATGTTTTTAGTTATGTGCTGTTCTTAGTGACATGCTAAAATTTCACACCATCCTGTTCTATCCCACCTGTGATGTGAATCATCCCTTTACGGTATAGCTCTGCTGTATTAGCCACCATGGTTCACTAGGCAGCTTCTTGTTCATCAGCTCCACTGCTGAGGTATGGCATACTCATTTTCAAGTAACTTTTACAGAGTAGCCTAATGCCACATCACAATAACTGTGTCATTCACTTCACTTCACTGATCCACGAGACATTCAATCATCTCACATCAAAAAGTCACCAGTGTAAAGCTAAATATTTTTGAAGAGACAGACCAATTCACATAATTTTTACAATATACTACTACTATACTGGTTCTCTTATTACAGATAAATGCTATTATAGATACGTATTTACGTAGGCATGAGAAAGCATAGTAAAGAATTCAGTACCATTTGCCTTTCAGGCAACAACTGTAGGTTTTTTAATATATTCTTCATGAATTGTGGGCCTACTATAATACCAGATGTTAATTGTTATACAGAAAAAAAAAATCAAGGAAAATGAACAGGAAGGTCTATGAGGAAGTCATTTGAGGACTGAAATGTAGTGAAAATGAGAGCAAATCTGGAAAAGGATGTACAATTGAGGGATTGTTTTATACTGAAATGGGGGAAATAGTAGACGTTGTTACATACTCATGAAAATGATCCAGTAGAGAGGGCAGGTTGGTGTTACAAAAGAGAAAAGGGCTACCTGTAGGAATTGCCTGAGCATATAAGAGAATTACATCCAGAATACAAAGAGGCTAGCCTCAGGCACATGTAGAATTAATTCAGGGCAGTGAAGGAATTACTGTACAGGCCTAAATACAGGTACAAGGAGAGAGTATATATAAGCTCTCTTCTAATTGCTTCCATTATTCTCAGTGATAAAAGGAATTAATTATTAATTAACATCAAGGAACAAAAAATGTTGGGGATAGAAGTTCAGGACTTTTGGACAAATGAAATGACAGATGTCAGGTTTCAGTATTAAATTTGAGCTCTATTAAGATAACTGCCGGGCTAGAGAGATGGCTCAGAGGTTAAGAGCACTGACTGCTCTTCCAGAGGTCCTGAATTCAATTCCCAGCAACCACATGGTGGCTCACAACCATCTGTAATGAGATCTGGCGCCCTCTTCTGGCTTGCAGTCATACATGCTGTATACATAATAAATAAATAAATCTTTAAAAAAAAAAAAAAAGATAACTGCCAATGTGATTAACCCCTAACGAAAGAAGACCTTTTGAGATGGTTTACAAACCTAATTTAAACCCCATAAAAGTATAATAAAAACTAGTAAAGACAAAATTATGACAACATACTTGGACAATATGAAAGGCTGACTAGTACTCTTACTCCTTGAATGTTCTAGCTTCCTAAAACTAGCTGAATGAAAAATAAGGAACTTGTGTGCATATGGCTTCTCAGTGCCTTCATACAGGCAATTCTTCTAGGTTCCAAAACTGGCAATGAGGCAAGAAACTGACTGTACCACACACATCAGGCACTTGACACAAGTTACCATAATCAAAACAAAACCCTTGAAGTAGGAACTATTATTACTTCAATTTCCAGATGAGAAAACTGACAGCTGAAGATGTTCTTCAATTTATACAGAACTATGCTTAGTTTCATTCTGAAGCTAAATGAAACTTTATGGAAGGCAAGGTGGCTTAATGGATAAAGGCCCCTGCAACTGGGTCCAAACCCATACAAGCACATAAAATGAACTTAAATATCCTGAGGCTCTCCCACTATCTCATGCCCTTCTAATAAACCTTCCTGACTTATCAGCACTTTCTTTCCAACTGCCAATCACCTCTCTGCTTTTGCATTCCTTCCTCAGCAATGTTCCTAATAAAACATTAGTGGACAAAGTTTAAAATACCACATCTTACACATGAGTCTTACTCATTGCTAAGATAAACTCCACAAATAAAAAAATGTCACTTCATGGCATTACCTATACAAAACAAAACAAACAAATAAAAAACCTGTTCAAGTTATAAAACATTAGGCATTATGTCCATTTTTTAAAAAAATCCATTGTCTCTTCTTCTAAATCTACAGATATGCATGTCAGGCTATTTTACATTCTCATACATGCCCTTAATAATCTGTTCAGTCTTTGCCACTTCTGCTTGATTTCAAGATTACCATTCCTCCTGCCTATTGTGTTCCATTTGCTGCTAAACCCCTCTAAATTAACTTTATAATTCTAAGTCAATTTCCAGATCTACCAAAACAGAACTATGCTGATATAAAATGTGAATATACATTATATATGATAATCTGTATATATACATGTGTGTATATATGTTAGTATCTGTATGTGTGCATGTATATATGTGTACATACATACATACATATATATAATATATAAAAAATACACCCATATATATAATGCTTTGGTACTTATCACATGGACTGTATCCTTCAAACCTCCCAGTATTTTATGGAAGTAGGTAAAACTTTACTGAAACATTAAGAAAAATCATTCTAATGTTTTAGTTAGGTAAGTATGTATGTTTACATGGAACGAGTAGCACTGTTACACTTTAGTAACCTTAAGGCACACCATTTTACCTGTATATCTGAAGATAAAGCTGGTGCAAAATACAGCAAGAATCAGACAGGAAAGGGAGAAATTCCTAAAATAAAAAAACTCTATTCATTCTTTGTATGTCACATGACTTTCTAACTCATATCTTCCCCCATAACATACAGAATAAAAACTTGGAGATGCCACATTCAAATATAAAAAGAAAGCTTACATGAAAATGGAGCATGGATGAGGCTAAGCACCCAAACTCCTTGGCTGCTAGAGCCACCGTCACCCACAATTAGCAGCTCTCACTTACTGAGGACCATCTCTGCTGTTCAGTTTTGGCATTTCTTGTTTTGTTTGTTTTTCCTTTTGCTTGTTTTTTTTAAATTTCGTTGGAGGGGGGTTGTTATTTTTTTATTTTATTTTTTTAAAGAAAGAGAAAGTATATAAAGTTGGGTGGCCAGGGAGGTAGGGGGTATCTGGGAGGAGATGCCAGAGGAGAAAAAACAAAAAAATTTTCAAAAACCTTAAAAAAAAAAAAAAAAAAAGACATCAAAGTAGGAGGGGACTTGGGAACAAGTTCTGCAGGAGAGGAGGATGAGAAAAATTAATGGAGAATGAAAATGACCAAAATGCATTATATATGTGTATGAAACAAACATCAAAGAACTAAAACAAAATTAAATTTTTCTTCCACACACTCTTGGAGAATTTATTTATTCTTTTTTTTTTTTTTTTTTTTTTTCTTTTTGGTTTTACGAGCCAGGGTTTTTCAATCTAACAGCCCTGGCTGTCCTGGAACTCTGTAGACCAGACTGGCTTTGAACTCACAGAGATCCACCTGCCTCTGCCTCCCAAGTACTGGGATTAAAGGCCTCTGAACCACCATCAACAGGCTTTATAAATAGTATTTAAATATAAACTATGTCATTTGCTTCAAATTGATTTATGCCTATAGAAAATGATTAACTTACGAATTAATTTTCAGAAAATTAAAAATATCAATGATGATGCTAACAATATAAGCAATATAACAGATGCTCAATATTTAATAATAAATAGTATTAAACCATAAGATCTTCAAAATTAACTTCAAAAATACATTCAAATGACTGGTTTGGACAAGCTGAGGAGTAGGGAGATGGTTCACTAGGTAAGAATACATGCCAGGAAAGCAAAAGGACTTATAAAAGCCAGTTATGGCACAGCATACTATAACCCCAGCATTGGGAGATAGAGTAGACAAATTCCAGGAGCTCACTACCAAGTCTACAAAAAAGCTATAGGTTCAGGGAGAGACCTTGCCTCATAAAACAAGGTGGAGAAGAACACAAGACACACTCCATGTCAACTACTGCCCTCCACATGTGTACACACATGCAAGCCCACCCTGCCATACACAAAAGGACAATTTAAAATTTTGTGTTTGTTTTACAGTTATGTATTATAAAAATGAGCCTTACCTTAGTGTAGTGCAAAAGGGAATTAGCAAAGAAACGACACAATTTGAGTGTTTTCTGAAATATTCTGTAGTCAGCATTATCCTGTTCCATAAGGAAATAAGTATAATAACATAAAATTAGCTAAACCTGTAAATGAGACAAAATTTTCTAGAATGACTTAGTAAACAAAGTGATTATAGAAATTTTCATGAAAATTATTTTATTCCCACCAGTTAATAGGATACTTTATGAATTCTGCATTACTAAAAATGTAGTACTTGTAACTTATAACTTATCTTACTTGTACTTAATGTACTTGTAACTTATCTTACTGATTTGAAAGTGAAATTTAAATAATTTATTTGCTATATGGGGGTCAAATTAATCAAAAGGAGGTGACTGATATGTAAAAGGTAAAAGAAAAGGCAATGGAGAGAAGAGAATACAAACAGTCGGTGAGTAATACTGAAAAAACTTCAATCTAATTATGTATCTTTTGGGAGAAAGAAGGACTGAAGACTATTTGACTAGCAAAGCTAAAAAAGACATGATACATGGTATTCGTGAGCTGGGGAGAAAGGGGGTTAATAAGGACTTTCTCTAATTGCTAATGGAAGCATAAAATAATACTGTTCACTTATATCAGGAGTTAAGCTGTTAAAATTCTTTGACTAGCAACTTTGTTTCTGGATCTACACAGCACGAAAATACTGCACCAAGTATGTAATGCAATGTTTTTGAACTGAAGGGAGCCAAGCATCCATCACACAGAGTGATTAAAAATACTAGACATACTCATCTACGATAATCCCATATAGTATGAAGAACAGGGCAAATATACTGTCATGACACAAAAATCTCAAGCACGGATAAAAGTTCTAAATTAGCACCATAAAGTTAAATCAAATGAATTATCTTTAACTTTGAGAATTATTTCACATGAAAATAATCTATCTTAACATTAATGTTAACTATGTTTAGTTCTTTTCCCATTATGGCAAAATCCTAATTTAATCTAATCAAAATCTGAGTTATCCATTAATGGAATAATCTACTTACATCTGACTTTCATTACAAATAATGAGAAATGGTTTTCTGCAGTAAAAACTATGTGAACAGAAATTCACATTTCTTTTATATGATCGACATGAACTCTGTTATCCAGTGCTTTCCAAGTAAAATATGCAGAGAATAAAAGCTGGAGGGATGACTGACTCAACAGATACAGGTGCTTGCCACACAAGCTTCAAGATAGAGTCTGATCCCTGGATACACATGAAAGTGAAGGAGAGAACCAACTCTACATAACTGTCCTCCGACCTACACACACACACACACACACACACACACACACACACACAGAGCATGAGGAATTTTTTTTTTTTTTTTCGTTTTTCGAGACAGGGTTTCTCTGTGTAGCTTTGCGCCTTTTTCTGGAACTCACTTGGTAGCCCAGGCTGGCCTCGAACTCACAGAGATCCACCTGGCTCTGCCTCCCGAGTGCTGGGATTAAAGGCGTGCGCCACCACCGCCCGGCTAATTTTTTTTTTTTTTAAGAACAGAGATTAAAGATGAATCCACTCTAATGTTAACTTGTATCAGCACAGACTCTCTTAGCAACTTGATACTGTCAAGAAGAGTGAAATAGAACACACTCTCAACCAGTTCTCTCCTGTGAGGGTCTCTGCAACTGTGGGAGGCAAAAGGGCAGTTTGGATCAACACAACTAAGTCGCTAGTGTTGATTCAAACTTTGGTAGTCTGATCCTGAGTAGTTTATCTTAGGCATATTGAAGCAAAGCACAATTTGGCGAAAATGTTCCTGGTGATATTTAACTCAATCCCATGTACACAATAAGTACACACGAGTCTCCTTGAGGAACAAAGTAAGCTTAAGAAAGATCCCAAATGACCACGTTGAAACTCTTTGTAAAGTACATGTGACATCTTCCATAAAGATGGGTTCTATAGACTGAGCTGAGAGCATGCCCCCACCTTATCTCTGCTTGTGACTTGACCTTGGCCTTCCCTGACTTTAGAACTATAGAACTAGATTGCTGCTGTCTCCAAATGACTTCATTTTAGGTATTCTGTTGTTGAAGGAACAGTAGACTACTACAGATGATTACTGCTTGGGAAGACATCCTAAATATCAACAGTGAATAGCATACTAAACTATAGTGAGTGAAAAGGCTAGAGACATATAAGCTACCCCAGAACTCCCTTTCAGTCAGTGAATGGAGTTGGTCACATTTATCAGTCCAAAATTTGCACATAAGTCAAAACATGATAATCTGGTTGAGAAAGTTTCAATTTAATTCTGTTTTCATATAGCCAATTTATTTAAGATTTATATATATATATATTATATATATATACATATATATATATTATATATATATATATATTACATAATTAGCTACTCTGATCTAATCTAATCTAGGAACCTCCCAGACTTTCTTTTGGCTTGCCACTACAGGCTATACTATTTTTTGGGTTTTCCCTATCTCCTGGCTAAGAACTACTAATTGGTGAGTCTGCAGCATCAAGCAAAAAGGAAACTGAAAAGGCTGAGACTGAAGATAGGTCTCTATCAGTGGTTCTCAACCTTCCTAATGCTTCAACCCCTCAATACAGTTTCTCATGTTGCGGTGACCCCCAACATAAAATTATTTTCATTGCTACTTCATAGCTGTAATTTTGCCACTGTTATGAATCATAATATAAATATCTGTGTTTTCCAATGGTCTTAGGCAACCACAATGAAAGGGTCATTTGACCACCCACAGGTTCTGAACTTCTGGTCTGTATCAGGTGAAAAGGGGGACAAGTTCTCTGCCATTGACAGGATACAAAAGTAAGCTCTCCTATCAGCAAGGTCTTGAGAACCAGAAAGGGAACCAGGAACTGAGAAAACAAAAAGGGGGAATGAAGGCATCTGAAAAGAGAAAGGAAAAAAAAGATGAACAAGGAAAAAAATGCAAACCTCTTCCTACAACTATCCTTCACTTCTGTATGTTTCAGAACTCCTTGTCAGATTCCTGTGTTCCTTTGGGTTCTGTCCTTCCAGATTATCCCTGGTACAGCAGTAGCTGCCACCAGTCTGGGAACTTTGATAAAACTTCTATCCTTCTATCCCCAAGGCTGTTTGGTAGGGAAGAACACATGCACAAAGGAACCTTCTATCAGTTGTAGGTCTACAAGAGGAGCCATATTACTGCCATTTGGGGAAGAAACAGTCAACTCATCTTCCCATAAAAACTACATATTAGTTCCTGGGTCCATCAATTCTGTAAATCAAGGGATGTTTAAAAAACTTATAATTAGTCTAAATCAAAAGTCACTGTGCTTCTATAATACTTTTATATGAAGATGAACTGTAATTTCCAACAACCCTATTCCACATGCTTAGAACAGTCTTATTTCATAGAGGTAATGCCAATTCAACACTGTAACTTCTTGAAATCAAAATAAATGTATCTATCAATTTTGAAAGAAGAATAAACACACACACACAAGTACTATTAAAGGTTGTAATGTATTAGTGACAGAAAGGTTGACAATCTCTACATTAGGAAGACCTTAAATAAATGTAAAACAGAGAAAAGTTCTGACCAACCAAGTATGTATAAACGATGGGAAGGTAAATGCTATAGGAAATGAAAGAAGTGAATGTAATACAATGTTCTAGGTAAAAAGTAATTATGAGTTGTAAATAATTCTACAGATTCTTTAAGAGAAAATAATTAAAACCCTAGACCATACTCTTTGTGTTCAAATAAGATTTAGTAACTACCCAAACACTAACTCCCCTTTGCAGTGGTGTTAGATTACATTTTACCTGTGCAGCCGGCTGTACCATCTGCTCAGCTAACTGTAAACAGGAATGGAAGGAGAAAACAATGTCTTCACACAAGCTAGAAATAATTTCCTTGTGTTTCAACTGGCTCTTTATAACCGACTGATGTTTAAGGCTCTGCCTAAACGAATAAAAAGAGAAGAATAAAATCACCAGAAGTGACATGTGATCACATCAATCAACTCAGGCCCATAGAACGCCTACTTTATAGAACATTTTCATCAACACAATATATTATATATTAAACATGGTACATTTAAGATGTGCCAGCTTTACCTTCAAGGCTAGTGGCTAAATTTTTGTCTTTGTCAAATATTAATTGAATTTCTATTTGTCAAGCAATCTGCTGGGTCTTGAGGATTAGAAATAAATCAAATGGACATAATTTTTGCCCTATCTATATGGAATATATGGCCTAATATAAGAATGTTAAATAAACGTGAGAACAGAATAATTAGTTGTGATAAATGCTAGGCTGAGAAAGTCCTATGTACTATGAAACAATTACAAGAATGTTAATGCTGCACCAGGGAACTAAAGATAAGCAGAAGCTTACAGTACAGAGCAGGAGAGAGGAACAGTCTCTGCAGAGGGCAAGCTGTGGAAGGCCTGGGACAGGGGAACTTCCTGCATCTGAAGAACTGAGACCAGAAAGCAAGCAGCAGCAGAGGGGCTGGTAAAGGAAAAGTGTCCAGAAAAGCTTAAGCTATTGCTCTGTATGGTGGGAGACTTTAACAAGCTGGGTGATATGATCCAATTTAAGTTTTAAATATATCACTCTGAAAACAGAGCACTGGAAAGGAGCAAGAATGAAGGACAGATGACAGCAATGCTGGCTTGGTGGGGTGAGGACGGCCATGTGGTTAAATCACTGAGCATTCACAGGGTGTCGTATGAAGTTTCAGCAATTCACAATGGTGAACTCAATGTTCAGTGCAATACTATCAAAGCAGTGCTATCATTATCCTATTTTAAGATGAACAAACTAAGGTTCAGAAAAACTAACCAAATTGTCCAAAAACTCAGAAGGACTCAGGTACACATATTATGGCGAACAAGTGACACTCCTATTACTTTTTTGCAAGTTAACATCCTGAGGGAACAAGAAAGGTACCTAAAAGGAGTTACCCCAGCTTTTCATACATTATACATGAATAACAAAGTAGCTAAATTATTCATGCAGTAGAGGATGCCTCTTCTCCCCCCTCAGCATCTAATAACTACTATAGGTACTCTCCCTATTAGCCCTTATAAGGCTTCAATTTAAGTTCAAAGTCTTTGAAAAGTAGAATTAGGGTTGAACAAGTCAACTGTATATAGCAAAGATTACTGTCAACTCCAAATATAGTTACTAATTTCTGACTTAGACACGCCATATTTGATATTGATAATTACCTAACAATGGTAGTAGCAAGCACATGATTCAGGCATACTTTGGTTCATGGTCCATTATTTCAGAGCTACCAGCTAACTAACTACAACTGTAGGGTTTTTTATTTGTTTTTATTTTTTTATAGCAGTATAGAGGAGTTCAGTTTGGTTTAGAAGCTACCTGTACAATATATGAATTATCATGCAGCAGAGCCAATGAGTATTCACCACATAAAATTTTTCAAATGTAATCTAAAAACCATGAACTATTTAGAATTTGAGATATAGAAATTACAGTATGAAAAAGGAAATTTAACAAACTTACTTAATTATAAACTTCCATGTATTGGCATGAAATGCTTGGTCCATACTGGAGATAACAGAGCAGACATCCAATAAGGAATGAATAACTAAAAAGAAAGATAACACGCCTCTCAGGATAATCAAATGTTATATGAGATGATATTCTTTTATATTTAAATGGATCAAGTGAACACCTTCATACTTGACTGAATTAAAGTATGTACTAGTTTGAAAATAACCAGGTCAGCTGGGCAGCAGTGGTGCACACCTTTAATCCCAGCACTTGGAAGGCAGAAGCAGGAGGATCTCTGTGAGTTCCAGGTCAGCCTGTTCTACAAGTGAATTCCATGACAGCCAGAGCTACACAGAGAAACCCAGTCTTGAAAAATCAAAAAAAAAAAGAAAAAAGAAAAGAAAAGAACCAGGTCAAATAATTACTGAAAATAAATGTTATATTTTTAAGGTTTCAAAACTAAAGAAATATTGATTTTGCAGTTTATAGCTACCAAATGACAATTAAAACCAAAAACGTTCAGTGGAATAAAAGTTATATCCTATTATAGTCGAAATATTCTGTAGATACAATTCTAATTTTAAAAAAAAAGACACTGCTGAGAAAACTTAACAAGGAACAACTAATTTACACTACCTTACATTCATCCAAGTGTTTTATTCTGGTTGTGCTAGATAACTGGCCCCAACTGGCCCTCCCGAAGCCATAATACTATCTTCGGGCATAGATCAATAACTTAATTTGATAAAAGGAACAATAATCAAAGCAAACCAAACCAAGATTTGGTGTGCTGGGACTTGTCCTCCTTTGCTATTCTTGGAAACCCCAAAGCCACAATGATGATTGAGCCTGTGTTAAAATGTACATGACTTTCTCACCACTTCTGCCTCAGCAAACAGCCAGAGGTGAGTGAAGTTCTTAGCTATAAATGCACAAATGAGCCAGCTGCACAGAAAATTACTGCAGATAATGCCAGCCTAAGTTGAAGGTACATGGAATTATGAATAAAACATTTTAAACAACAGATTTTCAGGCTGATTACTTAGAGGGCAAAAGGTACCTAGTAAGTGCCCCCAAATCAACCTATTCTCTTAACATTAAAGTTAGGAATATAATCTTTGCTTTCCTATATTAGTGTATTATTTTTTAAACTCTAGATCATAACGCATTAATGAGTGATGAAATCAATGACACAGATTTCAATCAGTAACTCTGTTTTGTGCTGTGTTCATGAGACAGGGCTTTACTATGGGGCTCAGGCTTACCCTAGAACTTCTAAGCCCTCCTGTTTCATCTTCCCAAGTGCTGTGCAGGCCTGTGCCATCACACCTGGCTGATAATTAGCAAGTCTGTAGAATGAAATAGTACGTACAAGGCCTTGGGCTTAATTCCCAGCAAAGAAAAACAAAGAAACAATAGAGGAATAAATGTAAAATGAATATTATTTTCATTATAATAAAAGTATTTTATACATTCATAAGCCCCCCACCACACACACACACACACACACACACACACACACACACACACAGAATTCCAGAAAAGAATTTCAACTCCCTCTCCTCTTCCCTTTTTGTTATGAGTTAAGGAGAAAAAAACTCTAAAGGCTGCTTTCTCAGAATGTAGAGTAGCTTAAAGGTTAAAAAGTTAGATACATCCTTATTTGTTAAATCTTTTGTGTGGAAATTAGCTACTATATATTTTACCTCGATATTCAAATCTATAATAAAGTATAAAAACTAAATTTTACAAATTTAAAAGACGGAAAATTCATCTAGGAAGATTTAGATTATTTTTTATACATAAGCAAGAGAGCATGCATCAAGAGAAACATTAGTTTGATAACTTAGTTGATTAGTGAACTATAGCCATTTTTACGCTATTCTAATCAATGATTCTTTGCTCACCTTCCACCATCAACAAAATGTTATTTTCATCTACTGAAGGGCCCATGCAGACCATGTCCAGCAGTTCCATCAGCTTCTTCTGGAGAGAATAGGCCTCCCTGAAAAGACCCTGGAGAAGGTCTGACAGTAGGTGTAAGCGCCCAGAATACAGAGACTCACTATTCTAATCACAGAATATAAAAAGAAGAGAAACAGATCACAAACAGCTCAAAATTCAAATTTATTTTAGCCCATACTATCAGAGACTGAGATCATAAATGTAATGTTCTGACAGAATCATACTTTATTAAATGTACTTTGATAAATGCAAGAATGTAAAAAGTGCATTTTAGGGCTGGAGAGATGGCTCAGCAGTTAATAGCACTGACTGCTCTTCCAGAGGACCAGGGTTCAATTCCCAGCACCCACATGGCACCTCACAACTGTCTGTAACTCCAGTTCCAGGGGACCCCACACCCTCACACAGACATACATGTAAACAAAACACTAATGGACATAAAATTTTAAAAAAATTTTTTTAAATGGTGCATTTTAGCACTCCATCACCATGTACAAGTCTAGTTAATGAGCAATTTGTCATTTACCCAGCAAAACATCCATAATGAAACTGCCTGTGCCCTACAAATTCTAAGCCATCTTTTGTGCTTTAAAGCTGCTTCAGTAATGTTAAGATGAGTTAAGTAAGCCCCTTTGTCCAAATCTAACACAACAATTTCCAAGATTCCTGTGGTTAAACATAACCATTTTTCTTTAGGAAGGGAAAAATTCAATTCCAAAACCACTTTTTATTCACTTGTGAAACAACTGTGTCTATCTTCGCTCCTCAGAAAAGGCTATCCCAGTAATATCAACTAAAATGTAAAATCTTATGCATAAACACTTATTCAGTACTTCTGCCTACTGATTCCAGGCCATTTAAACTCTACACAGACCCAATACTTACCTTACAATGTACAAATGTCTTTTTAATTATATGCAGGATGGATGAGGGAAGACTATGAATATATTCTAGAATGACTGATTCCTGTGTGGTACATACATGATGAACAAATCCTGTAAGGCCTCCTAAGATCTGCGCCATTGTCTGGAAATAAGGAGAGGTTGGTTCAAGATATACTTTTATGTAAGTTACAAAGAAATTAGGCAGCATTCTGAGTGTTGGACCTATAGCAGTGACAAAGCATTCTATGCCTCTCTCTTTTCAGTGACCTTCACACCACTTAGAATCATGACCGAATTCAGGATGCTATCTTGATCTGTCTTCTAAGATACTTAACATAACATCATATAAAAATTCAGAAATTGGCCGGGCGGTGGTGGCGCACGCCTTTAATCCCAGCACTCGGGAGGCAGAGCCAGGCGGATCTCTGTGAGTTCGAGGCCAGTCTGGGCTACCAAGTGAGTTCCAGGAGAGGCGCAAAGCTACACAGAGAAACCCTGTCTCGAAAAAAAAAAAAAAAAAAAAAAAAAAAATTCAGAAATTGTCTTTCAATACTTATTTAAGTCCATAAATTTAATTCTAGAATCATGCCATTTCATAAAGAATAAATGGTTTGTCTTTTTTTTTTTTCTTGAAGATGAGATTTAACCCTGACTAGCCTCAACTCAGTAATCTTCTGACTTCAACCTCCCTAATACAACAGGCAGGCATGAGGCACCACCCCTCACCTCTGCTACAAAAAACTTTTTTTTTTTTTTTTTTGGAAACAGGATCTCACTATATAACCCCATCTTCCCTTAAAGTCAGGCATCTCCTGCCTTAAGTATGTCATGACACCCAGCTCCATTCTCTTTCTAATACACTTACTTGTAAAATATTTCTTAGAGTGATCTGGATTTCTAAATTTTGGCTTGAGAGTTCTGTAGCTTGAGTGGTTAATTCATATATCATTCCATCAAACAATTTTATAGTCTGTGAAAACAAATCAACGTATAAACAGGAATAGAAATCACTAGAAAAAAAAAGACTTATCTTTGAAGGAAAAATAAAGACAACAAAATGATCTGATTATTCACTAGTAACATCTACCCACTTCATAGTTAACCACTGTTCCTAATTTAAAAGTACCTTTATAGGAGAGTTGCTAAACAAAGCCTCAAGCCTTGCTTTGCTTTTCATTTCTGTGGTGTCAATGTATTTAGTAATTGAAAAAGAACTCATTCAAAGTTCATTTGGGGGTCTGACAAGTGCAGTACTACTCTATACAATAAAAGACAATGACCTTAATCAAACAAAACAACTGTAGCTTTACAAGGGCATTTCTTGATATTGGTTATGAATTTATACTGAAGTCTTATATTTAGAACCCATTTATATATTTTGTTTTTATTTTGTGAGACAAGGTCTCTCTATATAGCCCTGGCTGTCCTGGAACTCTGTGTAGACCAGGCTAGTCTCGAATTCAGAAATTTGCCTGCCTCTGCCTCCCAAATGCTAGGATCAAAGGTATGCGCCATCCCGCCAGGCATTGTATTTTGACTAGTTCACCTTTTTAAATATAAAAATCACTTAACAGTAATGAACTCGCAAATAGAAACATCATGTAACTAGATTTATGCAGCTACATAAACAGTTATCTAGTCCCAAACGCTACACATCCCCATGAAATGTTACACTACAGAGCAGCTTTATATACAAAAAGCTTAGTTGTATTATACCCCTAGTCTATGAAGGCTATCTCGAATTACTACAAATGGTGAACTATTTTTACTACTTATTTGCACTCAAATATGTTTGATATATTAGAAAAATAAGAGAATTAAGAAAATTAGGAACAGATTATACAAAGTTAAGACCAAATTTTAGTAACTTCTATAGTGTGTAAATTAATAAAACTGTACCTTTGGTAAAATTTGGGAAAAGACACTCTGTTCCAGTGTCAGGTGATTCACATGAGGCAAAAACATATCAGTAATGATTTTCAAAATTCCTATAAAGCAAAAATAAGTTAAATGGGTATGGATACCTGTACTCAACAGGATCTACTACCATTAAAATACATTTTTGAAAGATGTGTTTCTAAAATGGTGAAAATTCAAATTTTAACAATTATATAAACAGGTATATATAATGACCTATAGCTGGGCTGACAGAAATGTAAGGAATGAAATGACACAGTCCCCATCATAATCTTTTCTCTAAAAGTAAATTCTGTATACATGTTTGCATGTGTACGTTCATGTACACACATGCCATAGCATGCATGGACATCAGAAAACAGATTTCTTATAAGAAGTCATGAAAACAGATGGAGACTAAAAATTTTCCAAATGACAAATTTGTCATCATCTAGAGTCAACACAGTAAGCTTTTTCTAACCCAGAGTATTTTCTAAATGACACTAAATATGTTAAGAGGCTGAAAGTTATAACAGACTGAAATGGTGTTTTATCTTGGTCCTATCAGAGCATAAAAATTTCAATGTAGCCGGGCGGTGGTGGCGCACGCCTTTAATCCCAGCACTCGGGAGGCAGAGCCAGGCAGATCTCTGTGAGTTCGAGGCCAGCCTGGGCTACCAAGTGAGTTCCAGGAGAGGCGCAAAGCTACACAGAGAAACCCTGTCTCGAAAAACCAAAAAAAAAAAAAAAAAATTTCAATGTGCTAATACATCACCAAAAACGGAATTTAAAACTTAAAAACACTATGATTGGAAGGAATTATCTCATTTTTATATAACAGGAAGTTACCAAAGCTACAACAAAGATTAAAATCTTATCTAATGACATTCGTATACACAACATCATACACACAAAAAAATTTTACTTACGTATATGTTCAATCCAACTCTCAGAATGCTGATACATAGAGTAAATATAAAATAATTAAGGAATAAATTCAAAAGGGATCCTTAAAATTTACCAATAATCCCTAAGAGACTAAAATTATACCCAAATCCCTGATTTCTTTTACCTCTCAAAACTTAACATTTATCAAATAAACAAACGTTTTTTGAAAATTTTAAGGAAGAAGTTTCAAAACTACTTAGGGCTAAGTAACTTTCAAACTAAGTGCAATCATGAAATACTTATGACTGATGGAAGACAGTATTGCAGTAATCCTGAATTCCGGCTTCTATGATAGGACAGAAACTCTCCTTAGAACTTCTGCCCTTTGTATCTGGCTTAATTCTGCATGTTACTTACCTACCTATCTTACCAGACTGAAAATCTTCTGCTGGTAGCAGGAGCTTGCAAATTGTTGCAACTTAATTATAATATGAATTAACAATAAACACAGTATAAACTATACTTGTACATCACTGAGAATAAGTACTAATATTTTATTGTAAAAGCAATAAGAATCCTTGTACAATGTCAAAAAAAAGTTACCCATTACTATCACAAAAATCCCTCTTCTGAACTTTAACTCTTTATAACTGCAATTAAAATGAGATAACCTAAAACTTTTCAATTCAGGAGGGTAGAATCTGCCAACTGGAACAATTCCAGTTTAAATTCAGAAAGCCTGCTACTCCATAATATTAAGTTATGAGTAGGCAAATATTCAGAAAATAACTGGACAATAAACAAAGTAAAAAATATGAAACTAGTTTTAGTAGGTGATAAGATTGTGATCTACTGCACTTTTCTTCCATCTGTTGTACAAGAAGAAAGTAAAATACCAACATTTGAAAAACTACTTGAGACATCTAGGCATTTTTATTGAACACATATGTGCCAGTCACTATTCTCAGTGGTGAGGCTAAAACAATGAGCAAAACCAAACGTCTGCCTCTATACTTGACAATGCAGTTAGGGAAAAAATGAGGAAGGCGCAAAGAAGTTAAGGATCAAATGGTCTCCAGAAAACCATAAACAACACCATAAATGTAATAGGGTGGTGTGGCTAGCTTTATGTCAAACTGACACAAGCTAGAGTCATTTGGAAGGGACTCTAGATTGAGAAAATGCCTCCAAAAGAGTTGCCTGTAGGCCTATAGTAGTACACCCACTCCACCCCACCCTGCCACTTTATTGAAAATAGATTCATTTCTCATCTGATATATCTTGATTAGTTCCCCCTCCCTCTGCTCCTTCAAGTTCCTCCTTCCCTCGTCTCCCCTCAGGATCCACCCTCTGTCTCTCATTTGAAAAGAACAGGCTTCTAAGAAATAACAAAATAAATTATATCAGATAAAACAAAAACCATCACATCAGAGTTGGATAAGACAAACCAAAAGAAGGAAAAAAAACCCAAGAGAAAGCACAAGAATGAGACCCACTCATTCACACACTCAGGAGTCCCATAAAGATACTAAGCTAAAAGCTCTAATATATATGCAGAGAACCTGACACAGACCCGTACAGGCCTTGTGCTTGCTGCTTCAGTCTGTGAGTCCATACGAGCTTTGCTCAATTGATTTGTAGTGCATTTTCTTAACTGATGATTGATGTAGAAAAGCCCAGCTCACTTTGGCCAGTACTCCCCTGGGCTGGTAGTCTTGGATGCTATAAGAAAGTGCACTGAACAAGCCACAAGGAGCAAGCCAGTAAGCAACTCTCCTCCCTAGGTCCCTGCTCTGCTTGAGCTCCTGTCTTGACTTCCTTTGATGATGGGCTGTGACATGGAGCTGCAAAACGAAATAAACCCTTTTCTCCACCAAAATGATTTTGGTCATGGTGTTTTACCACAGCAATTGAAACCCTAAGACAGGTTTCAGGGAGCTACCTAAGACTGAGGACTGTGAAAAGGCTCCTCTAAGGAAGTAACTCTGAGGAAGGCCAGAATGAGATGTTGAAAAGGCTGGAAAACAAATTAGGCTGAGAACAAAGATTCTCAAGTAAGTCATCTTGTGGACTAAGTGTAGCTAGCTAGGTATGAAGGAAGGACCAGGCTTAAATTATGGGGAACCCTGAAGACAAGTTCTGACTGTATTCTTAAAATTAAGCCATATAGGTATGATGAAGAAGAAATAAAGTGAATTGTTTTTCACTCTAAACTTTGTAAGGATGGATTATAGAAGAGCTGTGTAGAAACAAGGAGAATATCACTAGTCCAGATTGTAAAGATTGGAATCACAGTGGCAGCAATGGAGACAGGTGGATTCAAGAAGTAATTTAGAATCAGAAACAACAATTTGCTGGTTACAAAGGAGTATTCAAGGTTTACTTACAGAAGAAAACCTGGAAATGAGATCTGAGTTCTTAGTAGGTAGCAAGGTAAGGTAGAAATGGTGCTTTGAATTTAGTGAAGGTGCCTCTAAGATTGAGGGGAGAAAAACATCGCATCGTCATTCACTCTAAGCCTAGCATTATACCAGACACACATTACATAAATAAATGTCTTTGAGTAGGAAAACAACTGTTTCCAGGAGGAAATTCCAAATTCCTTCCAGGCTGGCACACATATAATTCCAACGCAACAGACACAGGATCATTGCAAACCCAAGACAAACCTGTTTTGTATAGCTAGTACCAGACTAGCCAGGGCTACATAGCAAGACCTTACCTAAAAAGCAAAATAACTCCGTATCTGCACAAGGAGTATAAAAAACCAGACACTGGTACCACACTGGATTTTTCCTAAGCTCTAATGAATGACTGCAACGTGCTAGACATACTTAAGTTATACTGATTGTGAAACACCATTCGTGCAGGGTTTGCACTCTAGAGAAAGTGATGGTCTTTTGGTTTTGGAGGGGTTTGTGTGTGTGTGTGTGTGAGAGGGGGGATGTAATTTTATATATAAGGTGGAATCAAAGACATAATACTAAAATCACCGTTTAGCATGAAGGGGGTCGATTTCCAGTTACAATTACAAACACAAAGCATGACACTAATTATCATTTGCTCCTGACAGCACACAATTCCATCGCGATCTAAACCAAAACCTGAGGCAACGCTTTCTAACTAAAAGGGAAACAGAGGCTGGAAAGGGGAAAGCATTTTTTGTCTTACAGAGCATTCTTTAAAGATGTGGTCCCACAGAATAACTACAACTACACCCTTCACTTCTCACACTTCAGATACCGAGCGCCAGGACGGGCCGGGGAGCCCAGGCCTGGCATCTCCCCTACTTGGCAGCAAGAACGGCCTATGGAAAAACGAAGGGACAAACTAAGGCATGAGAACGCCAGTCGTCTTCAAAAGTTCCGATCGCAATCGTCCGACCATACCAGGCGGGCCTAGGCCCTGCACCCACTGTTGTCCTCGCTCCCTCCAGCGCCACCCCGTAAAGGAATAGGGTTCGAGCCCGGCCACACGCCGCCCGCTTGGGTAAGGCAGGAGGCGGCTTGCCGCGGCCCGCCCCCCAGCGTCCTCCAAGGATATGAGGAGCCGAGGCAGCGCCGAAGGCAGTTCCCGGCGGCAGTCCTCTCGAGACCAGCTGCTGAATGTCTCCAGCACGACCCGGTTCGCCTCTACATCGGCGTCCTGAGACATTCTTCCGGCGTCAGCCACGGACGAGCGCGTCCAACTCCCGCCACAAGTTAGAACGGAGGTGACGCCGTCCCAGCAGGCTTTGAGAGCGCTCCGCCCACACCAAACCATAGAGAGGAGGCCCCTCGCCCCCACGCGCCGGAGTCTTCTCTAGCCGCCGGAGGACTCGTCTCGCTGGTGGGCACTGTGTGCTGATGGCGAGCTTCCCCACGAGTTTCGGACCCTGCGTACTTCATTCAACCTAACATCCGTCATTGGAGTGCTGAGACCAGAAGTCCTCAGGTTTGTTACCCTCAGTGCTGGGGGCTTTGAGACTGTGCGCGTGGGGTCAAGGGTGAGCTGGACCTGTAACTGGGGATGACTCTCCGCCCCACAGTGCAGAGGGTTGGGAAGTAGGAATGATTTTAGTGGTGGGACTTCTTCTGTCTCTACAGCTCCTGCCAAGTGAACAAAGAGCCTACCTTCCTGAAATGTGCAAATTAAAACAGGTGTTATAAAAGTCTGGCACATTGCTGAAAATGTTCCTATACAATTGATTTTACTTCCTACAGTCCTAGTCTTTATTTCATTCCTCTGTCACGTTGCCGTTTAAAATTACGGATCTGGATTAAATATCCAACCGTTTGGATGAATTTACAAACACCAGATCACACCTGTACGTCCTTCTTACCCAAATAAGACCTTAAACTGTTTTTGGAGACAGATTAACAGAGATGATGTGTTGGAAATTTAGGGGGCACAAGTAGACACCGAGTAGCTAGCTAGTCTGACCTGTCTAAAAATCTTGGGCTTTATATTTTGTTTTGGTAAAGGTAGTCGCTGTTGTAGCTGTCTTTTGTTTGTTTTTACATTTTATCTTCTACTTATGAATACTTAAGGAATCTGTATTTTCCTAAAACACCCCCTACACACACACATACACAGAGAGCTTTTTTTAATAATTGTCATTCTCTCTCTCTCTCTCTCTCTCTCTCTCTCTCTCTCTCTCTCTCTCTCTCTCTCTCTCTCTCTCTCTCTCTCCTTTTCCCCCACTTCCAGGGCTGAATTGAAAGAGGAACAAAGGCCTCTGAACAGTCTTTGGAAGCCTCTCTAAATATATCCAGTGGTGGATAAGCAGCTAATGGACATTGATCCCAACAGAACTAATTGATTGTGTGAATCAGTTAAGCTATTAAATCCCACTTCGTAGTTGAAGCATCATCCTTTGGTAAAGATTGTGTGCATAAAATAAGAGGATGGCCTTTCAGTTCAACTTCAGTATAGAAGAAGATCTGGAAAATAAATTAACACCCCTTGGAGATGGAACTTTGACCCTGGATTCATCAAAGGAACCATCAGTCTCAAAAAGTCAAAAAGGAAAGCAGGACAAAAAGTGTTTTGCAGAACTGTCAGAGTTGCTTCCAGATGGCTTGGAAAAGACAGCTGCCTCTGAAGACACTGACCACCCACTCAGTGCAGCTGACCGGTCAGGTGACCCAGAAGCATGTGAAAAACAGCCCTTCTTGAGAGTTGCTAAAGAACATGCTATGCCTAAAGATTTAAATCAGGTCTTAGAAAATAAAGTTATGGAAATGTTGCCAAGTACCCAGCATGTTAACATAACAGTAGTGAAAACCATCTTGTTGAAAGAAAAATTCCCTGGAGAAAACATAGTTTCAAAAAGCTTTTCTTCTCATTCTGATCTGATTCCAGGTGTTTATGAAGGAGGCTTAAAAATCTGGGAGTGTACCTTTGATCTCTTGACTTATTTCACAAAGGCCAAAGTGAAATTTGCAGGGCAAAAAGTGCTGGATCTTGGCTGTGGATCAGGATTACTTGGAATAGCTGCATCCAAAGGAGGAGCTAGAGAAGTTCATTTTCAAGATTATAACAGTTTGGTGATGGATGAAGTGACCTTACCTAATGTAGTTGCTAACTTCCCTTTGCAAGATGAGGGTAATGATGTAAATGAGCCAGATGGGAAAAGACAAAGAGAGTCAAAAGTAGCCCAAGAAATAAGTAAATGTCGGTTTTTCTCTGGGGAGTGGTCTGAGTTTTGTAAGCTTGTATTAAGTGAAAAACTGTTTGAGAAATATGACCTCATTCTCACTTCAGAAACCATTTATAATCCAGATTATTACAGCACTTTGCATGAAACGCTCCTCAGACTGTTGAGTAGGAATGGTCGGGTGCTTCTGGCCAGCAAAGCACATTATTTTGGTGTTGGTGGTGGTGTTCATCTCTTTCAGAAGTTTGTAGAAGAAAGGGATGTATTTGATACTAAAACACTTGAAATAATTGATGAAGGTCTCAAAAGGTTCCTAATTGAAATGACTTTTAAATACCCCAGTTAATATGCACTGGGTGGCCTAATGGAATAAACAGAGTAACCCAGAACTTATGACTGTTTAATTTCTTTTTTATTATTATTTTTTCTAAAATTATGGTATTTGTATGGTTCTGCTTATTAAAATAATAAGCCAAGTAAACTAGCAGCCTTGTGTTTTCCATGTAAAACTGCAAGTTTGCCTGAGAAGTTGATGAACTCTTGAATCACTTTGTATGAAAATTCTTTCTCCACCTTCATTCAGTTGAGCTTTCTACCATCTCTAACATTCCATAAAGGTGTTCCCCAGGGAATGTTCCCATTTCCTACCAAGCTTGTGAATCTCTCTGCAGTCTTTGTTAGTTCCTTGTTCACGTGAAGTGCCTGGCTAGATTATTAAGGACTACTTCGTCCCTGAGTAATACTGAATGTTAAGTGTTTGGTTGAAGGCCTATGTAACTAGGAAGACGTTTTTATTGATTTGCATTGTGTAAAAGCATTAGCATGCTGGACAGTTGAATTTGTATTAAGATGAACACACAAGAATCCAATACAGTATGTGAAAGTGGCTGGGGATGCAGCTTGGTGGTAGAGCACTTGCTAGCACGCAGGGGACCCTATGTTCCATCCCCAGAACTTGAACAACAACAACAAATGTATGGATGGTAATAGAAGGAACAGTACTGAAAGTTGACTCTCACCCCTGTAAGCCAAGTATGAGACCCTGGAACCTTGGCTGGAGGACAAATAGGAAGAACAACTTCAGATTCTGGTCTGTAAGCTCCTCAAAAAAAGAAAGGGCCAGGCAGTGGTGGTGCACACCTTTAATCCCAGCACTTGGGAGGCAGAGCCAGGTGGATCTCTGTGAGTTCAAGCCCAGCCTGGTCTACAGAGTGAGATCCAGGACAGGCACCAAAACTACACAGAGAAACTCTATCTCGGGGGGAAAAAAATTTAAAAAAAAAGTTTTTGAGGCAAATAAGTACCTCAATTATGCAGGTAAATTAAACTCTTGGTGAGAGGATCTTCTATGAGGCCTTTCTAGAAGCAGCAGATGCTCACGACGTAATGTCAGACCTTGGGAAGAGAACCCACCAAAAGTAAATGGTAACAGAAATGAAATTCTATACTGGGAACTAGATACTAAATACAATCATTAAAGATTATTCTGAGGTAATAACTCAAAGGAGATGCATTTGCCCATGACAGCTGGCTACAAAGGACATTTGAGGTAGGAAGTTTGATTATAAATCTAGTCCAAGAGAATGGTGCCTAGAAAGATTTATAGAATTAATTGTTTAATCATTTAAGAAGGCATATATGTTCAAGCAGTGAGTTTTATACTCCAATATCAATTTTCCATAGCACATAAAAGCCCACTAATAAGTACAGTCAGTGGCTGTTAATTGAATATATATATATATATATATATATATATATATATATATATATATGCCTAAAAACACATTTCCCTATCAGTAAAACAGGGCTTGTGATAGTGGCCCCATAAGAGTAAGTGAATGTTGGGTATCATGGACCAATTACACTTCCTGTGTATGAGTAAAAAACTCCTTAAGAACTTACTTTTAGATTTTATTTGTATTGTTTAAGGTGTGTGTGTGTGTGTGTGTGTGTGTGTGTGTGTGTGTGTGTGTGTGTGTGTTACACACGTGAGTGTAGTACCCATGGAGTGGGAGTCCAAAAGAAGACATCAGATACCTTGGAGTTGGAGTTACAAGCAGTTATGAATGGCCCTACATGGGTACTGGGAACCAAACTCAGGCTGTCTGCAAGAGCAGCAAGCACTCTTAACTGCTGAGAAGTCCTTTCGGCCCCTCTCCCTCTGAGACTTCTTGTAATGTTTAGCTGCCATGCTTTCCCAGTTGGATAGGAAGTCCTGCTCACTCTTGTCCAGAATTTGAAGGGAAATCTAAGCTCTAGGATGACTCCTGCCCACCGTCCGTCTCCATTCTCTCCCGTCACACATCCACTCTGATCCACCCCCACTCGTTACTTACCGCCCCATTCCTAGGTCTTCTTTTTCAGAAACTTGGTCTTGTGGGTTGCTAAAAGTACAGAAGAGCACATCTCATGAATATGTTTCTAAACTATCTGTTCCACATGTGTTCTGTCAATTTTTCATTTTTTTCCACCATTCCAGAACCCAGACCTTCTATCTTAAACGGGCTTTTTTGTCTGGGATTTGGAAACCGAGCACTGGGGGCTGTGTCTGTGCTCACCAGGAATTATGACTTGCCCATGCCCCATGCTGTCACGATTAATCTTCACTGTCAGCTGGATTTGGACTCCCCCAGGAAACACGCCTCTGGGCATGTCTGTGAGGATGTTTTGTGACAGCATTAATCAAAAAGGGAGCACTCACCTTAAATGTGGGTGGCACTACCTCATGCATTGTGGTCCCAGAGTGAATTAAAGGAGAAAAAGAGAGAGAGAGAGAGAGAGAGAGAGAGAGAGAGAGAGAGAGAGAGAGAGAGAGAGAGAGAAGCTGGGTTAGTGCCAGCATTCTGCACTCTGCTTCCTAATCTGTAAGAAATAAGGAATCCTCACCACATACCCCACCAGCATGAACTCACTATACATTCAGTGCAATGATGAATTACTCCCTCTTAAAGCACAAACCAAAGCGTCCTCTGAATATGCTTCTGACATTGTGTCATAGCACTTACCCAGGTAGCTAATACAATGCAATAGCTAACATGTGATGTGGGCTGCAGAGTTGGTAAAGACCTGCTCCTGACCAGAGAAGGAGCTTGGAGAGGAACAAGTGTGTCTTTGCTTTGTGGTACCCTCCAAAGTGTTTCATTCAGGAATGGCAAGGAAAGTGTGACACTGTGAACCCAGTGCTTTGCCAGAATATCCAGACCTCAGCTTGAGGACTTTTCTTTGGGTAAAAGCACACACACATTGCCACCATAACTTGGGTTATAA